GTTAGTAAAAAGTTATCAAAATTAAAAAATAGAAACTTTGAAAAATGTGATTTTTCCATATAAATATTTTTTTCCGTGTAGGAAAAATATTTATAAATATTTATTAATTAACTTTTTTTTCTGTTTTCTTTTGATTTCGCGTCATATTTTTCCAGAAATGACAATAATTTACAACAATATGATTGAACATTGGAACAAAATTAAAGATGAAAAAGAATTGAACATAATGATGGAGAATCGACGTCGAGGGAAAAAATTTGCAACGATTTGCGTCGTTTTGGCGTATTCAACAGTACATGGTCGTGTTTTTCAGTGGATTGTGGAAAATTTGAATAATTGGAAGAGTCCTGATTATTATAAAAATTACACTCTATTAGTTGAAGCATATTTTCCCTTTCAATGGAACTATAGTCCAATTTTTGAAATAACATGCTTGGTACAATACATCGGAATTATTTGTTCAACATTGTCCAATTGTGGAACCGATTGTTTCTTCAGTCAAATTACTTTTCATTTTGTTGGACAGTATCAAATTCTACGTGTAAAACTTGCTGAACTCATCAAAAATATAAGCAATAATACATCAAAGTTGGAATTTAAGGAGAAATTTAAATTTATTTTGTGCACTCATTGTCATATTATGAGGTGATTTTTCTTCAGAATAAAAAGAAATTATCTTAATTTAAGATAAAAGATTTTCTTATTCACTAACAAAAAACAATATATTTGAATCAAACATATAATTATTTTTGTTCTACAGTCAATCGAAAATTATTTTTTAACTAAACATAATAATCTTAATTCAACACATAGATAATAAAATTTGATTCCATAAAAATTACGTTTAATTCAATTATAAAATATGTTTTAATTCAAACATATTTTTTTCGTTAGCTACTTATTTATAATTAAAAAAATTGTTTTTTCTTAGTGTTTATTATTATTATTTATTATACTATCAAAAATATGTATATGTCTGTATATAATTTTATATAATTAAAAATATATTCCCCTAAACAGCTGTATTGAGATATTAGAAAGCTCCTTCAATGTAATGTTTCTGATTCAATTACTCTGTTGCTCATTTCTGCAAGCTTATTTCTTTATTTTGGTAAGTAGAAATTTTCTACTATATTTAGAAAAATATTTTCTTTTAATTAAAAATTTTTCATTTCGGAAAAAAGTAAACAAAATTTAAAATTCTACAGTCGTTCTTCGTCAAAAAAATTAATAAAAATAGATCAAAATAATGCCTAAATTGAATAAAATTAAAAATATTTTTTTCAGTTCGTAACAGACGAAAATGCAAAATCAATGCTACCATCAATTATGTTCATACTGATATTTTTCATGTTCCAAGCAGGAAGTTTTTACATTTACTGTCATTGCGCAGAAATGCTACAAATAGAAGTAAGAATAAAAACAATTTTCAAATAAATTAAAAATATAACAAAAATATATTTATAATATATTTTTGCATAACAATAATTTTTTTTAGAGTTTTGCGTTCGCAGAATCTGTATATGAATCAGAATGGTTCAATTTATCTGCTCAAAGAGCAAAATATCTTTTTCTACTAATGCTTAGGGGGCACAAACCAGTGTCGATAACTGCTGGAAAATTTTGTGTCATCAACTTCATGATGTTCGGTAGAGTGAGTTATAAATAATTTTCACTAACTCCCAAATAAATAATTATTAATAATATATTTTAATTTAATTTTAATTAATTAATTTATTTAATTTTAATTTACAAATATCATAGCGAAATTATTTTTATTAATAACAGAGATTTTATTAAAATTCCAGATTATGAAGACGTCTATTGGTTATTTATCATTCCAAATAACAATGAAAAGATAAATGCTCTTTTGTTTCACTGCAAAGCGCAGTGAAACAAAAAAATTAATTTGCTTCTTTATAAATATTTTACATAATATGTTTATTTATTTATTTGAATATTAATTAATAATTTCTAAATATTGTCAACAGGGATAATTTTGGGAAAAAAATGTTACTACCGAAAATTTTTTCTCTGTAAAGATTTGTTTTTACACTTTTCCAATAAATTATTCAAAATACTTTTCTATAAAGAAATAATACACATTTAATAAATATTTTTCACTAAAAAAATCAACTTTTTCGTTTTAACTTCTAAATTTATACAGTGAACAAAAATTTATTTGTTATATTTATTTCTTTTAAGTCACTTATCTCTCTAAATTTGAATTAGTAAAAATGTTTACTAACTTGAATAAGTGACTGAATTTTTGCTTTTGAATTAGTAAATTTGACTAATAAATTAGTAGAAATTACTATTTATTAAGAAATTTAAGTACATTTTACTAAAAAAAATGAAATGACTTTTTAACTAAGAGTTGTCAAGCCTTTGCAGACCGATAAATGTTATAAACGCAGATTTTGAACTTCAAAACATCCAAAACTCTACTGAACACATCAGACTCCGCAAGACTTTCCGACGATGAGATATGCGAATCATAGCTCTTATATATTAACTTGGTCCTCGATTCACCACTTGCGAGAGAAATGTGTCATATGTGTTTGTGATACGCTTCTCTTCAATTGGATCCTTGTTACCGCGCAAATTCGAAAGCAGCCAATGACAGCATTAGAGAAAGGCAGATGGAGATGTTGCAGATGGAGCTGCGGTTGTCCAATTGTTGGCGCCAACTTTTAAATATGCTTATTACCTTTTTTTAATACTTGAGTTAAATTGAATTTTTAACAATTAAATTAAATTAATTTATTATTCGTAAAGAAAATCATTATTATAGAATATATAATATGAGTGTAATGTAATTATTTTATAATATAATAATAATAATATAAATAATGCAATTATTTTATTTTTTGATGGAAAATTTGTAAAATTTGATTAAAATTAAAAAGGAATTTGTAAAAAGTGACAGAAAATTTAAGCAAGAAATGACAAAAGAATTAAAAATAAGGAATTAATAGAAAGTTATGAGAGAAGAGTAGCAGAAAATTTAAAAGAGAAAATTGAAATGAGAATAGGCAGCGATTACAGTTTTTTTTTGAGGTTACGTCTTCTTATTGTCACTTTTGCAATATTGTTGTTGTTGTTCTTTATTCAACATTAACAACGGGGTTGACACGCTTTTATTCATTTCAAATCCTTTTGTTTACAATTAAATTTTACGAAATTTCATCGATTATTCAGGTATTCAGAAATTCTTTAATCAAATATATACTTATTAGAAAATAAAAACTTTAAATAACTTCAAAAAAATTCAATTCAACTTTTACAAAAAAAATAAAATCTACAAAGTATGAAAAATTCAAACATTCAAAGATTATAATTTAAGACCTGCTTTTTAAAATTCAATTATTATCTAAATTTTTAACTGAAATTTATGTTTCAATCAATTATTATTAGAAACTTCTACGAAAATTCAATTATTTAAGTAAAAAAAAATTTATTGAAGAATTCAATGTTTTTTAAAATTAAACTCTCATTTAAAGAATTTTATCAACAAATTTAATTTCATTTTTCGAGAAATTAGATCAGAAATGTACCTATTAAAAATAATTGAATCTATGTAAAATCATTTCATTGAATTGGGAGAAACGTTTTCGAAAATAATTGAAATTTTGTCAAGTTATTAAATTTTTTTAAATAATTGAAATATTGCCAAGAATTTTATTAAAATTTTTGAAAATAATTGAATTTTAGAGAAAAATTTTAATATTTATAAAAATAAATGAAATTTTGACTATAACTTTTTTTTAAACTTTTGACCATAATTGGAATTCTGCTATAAGTTTTATTATCTATGAAAATAATAATTGTATCTCTGTAAAAAATTGTATTACATATTTATAAAAATAATTGAATCTCTGTAAACATAAATTAAATATTTTTGAAAATAATATAATTATCGCGAAGAAATTTGTAAAAAAAAAATTTTTTAATTCATTTCTTTTAGACAATTTTATTAAAATAGTACATATTGAAGTGAATTTTTCAAAAAATTATTGAATTTGTTAAAAATAATTTCATTAAAATTTTTAAAATATTGAATTTTGAAGAAAAATTTTAATATTTATAAAGATAATTTAAATTTTGACCATAAATTTTTTTAAACTTTTGTCCATAATTGAATTTCGTTAATGAATTTGAATAAATCTTTTAAGAATAATTATACGAATTTTTCTAGAAATTCCATTAAAATTGTATTAAAATTAATTGAAATTTTGCGATGAGTTTTATTATTTATGAAAATAATTGTAAATATATAAATTTTTTGATTATTTATAAAAATAATTGAATTATTGCGAAGAATAATTGTAAAGGTTTTTTTACGGTTTTAAAATTGAATTAAGAAATTTGAATTAAAGAAAAAGTAGATTTCAAGAATAATTACAATAATTTTAGAAAACAATAATTTTCCAGGATTCCAATAAAAATTCCCTGACATTTACTGGTTTTCCAGGTTGCGTGGCAAACCTGTTGTAAAAATCAATTGTGAGGTAGTTGGAATAAATATTTCGATCAACTTACAGATTATGAAAAGGAGGTTCTGCTGTTCGTGATATTGAAAATAAAAATTTGAAGCGAAAAAGAATTTTTTGATAATAAACTTTTTTTCCATAGATACCTAGATTGATTGAGTGGAGAACAAAGGGACGTGAAAAAATTTAAGAAAGCACTTTCGTGATTCAAATTAGTCACCAACTGTGCCTGCCGATACATTTCATTTATCTGACGAATTTATTGCTTAAAAAATAATTTTTGTAAAATATTGGACGCGTTATCATCAAATTAATTAATCAAAAGTCAAAAATACAAACAAGCATAATTTGCGTATTATATACTAATATAAATATAAAATTAAGGAAACAAATAATTTTTACACAATATTTCCAAGTATTAAAAAATTTATTAAACAATTAAAAGAGAAAAGTAAAAAAAGTATAAGAACATTAGATGAGTTTATAATCGCAATAAACAAATTGTAATATCAAAATATAAAAAAACCTCTCGAGAAAGTAATTTTCTTTTTTTTCAAGTTCGCAGTATATTTTTTTATAATTGTCATCGAATCTCATCTGTTTATTCGAGTTTTTCATCGCATTAAAAAATGTATATCAACTTACATGAATATAGAGTCGCAAGAAGCAACTTGTCAGAAAACAAATTAAAAATTTAATCTGAACATTGAAATAGAAAAGTATCTCACGATAATTACATTTTTATCGAGTTAGGTAAAAAAAAATAATTGTCGTCGTTCAGAAAAGTAACTCACGAAAAATAATTTTTTCAACTAATTAGGTAAACGTAACCTTTTATTTTAATCGCAATATGAAAATTTAAAGAAATCTCTCGAGAAAGTAATTTTCTTTTTTTTCCAAGTTCGCTGTATCTACTAGAGTCGCCAAATGCAACTTGTAAGAAAACAAATTCAAACTTTAATCTCAACATTGAAGCAGAAAAGTCATTCACGATAATTAAATTTTTAACGAGTTAGGTAATCGCAATCGTTTTTCTTCGAAGTATTAATACAATTGTCGTCGTTCAAAAATGTAAATCACGAAAAATAATTTTTGTAACTAATTAGGTAAACGCAACCTTTTATTTTAATCGCAATATGAAATTTAAAGAAATCTCTCGAGAAAGTATTTTTCTTTTTTTTTCAAGTCCGCTGTATATATACAATTGTCGTCGAATCTCATCCGTTTTTTCGAGTTTTATTATCGTATTAAAAAAAGTACATCAACTTACATGAATCTAGAGTCGCCAAATGGAACTTGTAAGAAAACAAATTCAAACTTTAATCTCAATGTTGAAGCAGAAAAGTCATTCACGATAATTAAATGTTTAACGAGTTAGGTAATCGCAAACATTTTTCTTCAAAGTATTTACATAATTGTCGTCGTTCAGAAAAGTAACTCACGAAAAATAATTTTTTCAACTAATTAGGTAAACGCAACCTTTTATTTTAATCGTAATATGAAATTTAAAGAAATCTCTCGAGAAAGTATTTTTCTTTTTTTTTCAAGTCCGCTGTATATATATACAATTGTCGTCGAATCTCATCCGTTTCTTCGAGTTTTTTTATCGTATTAAAAAAAGTATATCAACTTACATGAATCTAGAGTCGCCAAAAGCAAATTGTGAGAAAATAAATTCAAACTTTAATATGAACATTGATGCAGAAAAGTCTTTCACGATAATTAAATTTTTAACGAGTTAGGTAATCGCAACCATTTTTTCTTCAAAGTATTTACATAATTGTCGTCGTTCAGAAAAGTAACTCACGGAAAATAATTTTTTCAACTAATTAGGTAAACGCAACCTTTTATTTTAATCGCAATATGAAAATTTAAAGAAATCACTCGAGAAAGTAATTTTCTTTCTTTTTTCAAGTTCGCAGTATTAATACAATTGTCGTCGTTAAGAAAATTAACTCACGAAAAATAATTTTTTAACTATTTAGGTAAACGCAACCTTTTATTGTAATCGAAATATGAAAATTTAAAAAAATCTTTCGAGAAAGTATTTTTCTTTTTTTCCAAGTTCGCCTGTATATATACAATTGTCGTCGAATCTGAACCTTTTTTTCTAGTTTTTTTTATCTTATTAAAAAAAGTATAACAAATTACATGTATCTAGAGTCGCCAAAAGCAAATTGTCAAAAAATAAATTCAAACTTTAATCTCAACATTCAAGCAGAAAAGTCATTCACGATAATTAAATCTTTAACGAGTTAGGTAATCGCAACCATTTTTCTTCAAAGTATTTAAATAATTGTCGTCGTTCAGAAAAGTAACTCACGAAAAATACTTTTTTCAACTAATTAGGTAAACGCAACCTTTTATTTTAATCGCAATATGAAAATTTAAAGCAATCTCTCGAGAAAGTAATTTTCTTTCTTTTTCCAAGTTCGCCTGTATAAATACAATTGTCGAATCTCATCCGTTTTTTCGAGTTTTTTATCGTATTAAAAAAGTACATCAACTTACATGAATCTAGAGTCGCCAAATGGAACATGTAAGAAAACAAATTCAAACTTTAATCTCGACGTTGAAGCAGAAAAGTCATTCACGATAATGAAATTTTTAACGAGTTAGGTAAACGCTACCATTTTTTCAATCGAAATATGAAAAGGGAAGAAAATCTCTCGAGGAATTCGATTCAGCATTTGTCAATCTGTTAACAAAAAATAGCAAATAATTAATTTTTCCAAATTAAATTGTTTAAATTTCAATTTAAAAAATTATTTTTGTTAAACTGGTACAGTAATACTTTAAATAAAATGTAATATTTACCAATTTTGTTTTTGAACTCCTAGATGAACTTCATAACAATTTGTTGTTAAACTGCCTGCGAACCGATTCCAATGTTTTTCCTCCAATTGAATAAATGTACTCCATTTTCGTTTGATTTTTTCTGCTTCGCTTAAATCATTCATTTCTGCAATGTTCGCTTCACCATTTCCAAGATTGTGCCGCTTGAAAAATTCTTGAATACTGCAAGTTGTGTAAGACACGCAGGTATCAGTTACTCTCGCCTTTGGAAATAAATCAAATGACGGTTTTTTGTGATGAATCATGTATTTTCGAATTTTTTTCAATATTAATAAAAATCTCCAGTAATTTTTATCAATTTTTGTGAAATCCAAATTCTTTGGACTTCCTTTTAAAAGTTTCTTAAAAAACTTTAAATTCGTCGGATGGACATTCTCTTGAAATAATTGTTTTATTAATTTTTCCCGGTACAATTTCCGTGTAGGATCTTTTGGATCATTGGGAATGTGGCACATGAAAAATTTATTCATTCTTTTTCGCAAGTTTAATGAAATTAAATTCTTCCAGTTAGTTTCAAGTTGCTGTAGTTTATCCTTTAACAAATATCTTCTATTTTTCATATCAATGAGTTCAAAACCGATTGCTTCTTGAAAATCTGTAAATAAGTTTTTCATTGTTTCCCACGGAAAGTCTTTCAAACGTCCATGTCCTCCGTGAAAGTAAATGGCAAAAGATCCTAAATCCATTGCCTTTTCTCTTTCAATGATGTACTTAACAATTTCGTTGTTATTTAATGCACTTTGCATAAAATTGGTAAAATCATTTCGAAATTCAACAGTGAAATCTTGATCTTTTCTAATTCCTTTCCGAATATTTGGATCTATGAAACATTCATAGAATTTTAAATTTCTTGTGACTATTTCTTGCGTGAAATTACCATTTTCATGCGATTCTGCGAGGATTTGTCTACCAGTTTTCTTGTACATTGAGCACCTTGAACTTCTTCTGGAGTTATGGCCAGATTCCATGCAGTCCTTGCAAATTAACTCATCATATTTATTTGATTTCCAAGGTGTTGGTCGCTGTCCTGGTTTCTTCTGTTTTTCAAAACGAAAAAATTCATTTCCCTTTATGTCTTCTTTTTCCAGATATCGTGCATTAACAAGACCAATTTGCCGAATGTTAATGCAGGCATTTTTATCTCTGTCAGATTTGTGTCCGCACGTTAGACAAATGTAATAGCGATGCGGTGAGGATGCTAGTTTGTAGTTTTTCTCTCCGCATTCGCTACAAACTCGAGTGGTGTTATATTCATCCACCGTCTGAACCCTGATGTTTTTTGATTTCAATTCCTTTGACTTGTTGTTTAAAGTGTGAATCAACATTCTTAGATTGGATTTTCTGTATCCACATCCGACATTAGGAATATATTTTCCTAAAATAAAGAGAACATCTTTTGATTTTTCAATCAATTTTTTGTTGACAAAATTATCCCAAAATTTATGTGTTTCTACTCTAGTCGCCTTCGCGAGGGCTTGAAGTTTTTTTTGCCTTAATTTTTTTTTTTTAATTTTCATAATGAGAGAATAGTATTTAAAGATTTTTTCCCTCTTCCCATCATTATGTAAATCTTTCAATTTTAAATTTTTGCGTAATTTCTCCTTCCATTTCGTTTCTTTGCTCAAAATTTTATGAGATAATTTTATTCTTCTATTGGAACCGCTAAGTTGGTTATATTCCTGAGAGGTTAATGTCACGAATTTTTCGAAATTATCAGCAGTGTCTAAAACGTTAGCTGTAACAGGATACTTGAAGCCCAAGTCGATGGAAACTATTTTCTCCACTGGATATGGCGCCGGTGGATTGAAATCCACATTCCACGATTCTATTAGAGAAAATGAAAAATGAGTTAAAATTGCAAAAAAAAAATTTGTTATTACAGAAAATTATTTCAATATATCAATAGGCATATTTTTTACTATTATATTTCAATACATTGAAATTAATTTAATTCTTGCAAATAGTTTTACTAATAATTATAATAAAATATTTGTTTATTTAAGTTTATTACAATTTTATTGAAAATAATTAAATTTTTGCAAAGATTACTATTTCAAAAAATAATTGAATTCTTTGGAGAAGTTATTATTAAAATTTTAAATTTTTAGTCAGGCCTCGGATTGACTTTTGTAGTTGAAAATAGTCGAAAAAGTCCATTTTAATATTTTCAATTCAAATAACAAAACAACGTTTTCTAAATATTAAGCCAAAAAAATGTTTTTTTGTAAAAGTTATTAACAATTGAATTTTTTAGTACTGCTAAATTAACAAATTTTTTCTCGAGTTCCAGTTGTCTGATTTAAAATTGCAAATATGGATTTTTTTCGTCTTGAATTGCGTAATTTGAATATATATTTTGTTTTTAAATTTTTTTATATTATTTATTTATAAAATGTTGATAAACAAATATGTTGTTCACGTCCTAACAAAAAAATAATAATTGTATTATATTCCTTAAACGTATCCGAGTGTAAATCTGTTTTGAAAGAAAAGTTATTCATTAAAAACTGCAGTTGTGTAGAGCTTTACATGACGTTAAACTCGCCCCGCGCACACTGGCATTTTTTACAATTTAATTTTCAAATTATTTGTAGCCTGCAAATTTTATCTGATTTTGATGGTCTTGGTCTTAAATAAAATTCAAGGGGATAAAATTTCTAAGAGATATTAAATCAATTTTTGAATTTTAAATTGTTTATAATTAGTCTAGCATGGCCACCAGACAAATAATAATAATTTATAATACAATTTATTTAAATTGTCGCAAACAATCTTAATTAACAAATAGAATAAAAATTTTTTTTGAGACAAATCTATGTTTATTCAAGTAATTTATGTCAATAAATTTGACTGCAAAAAAAAAAATTTTTATAAAAAAGAACCAAAGTTATCTATTTGTTAATTAAGATTGTTTGCAACAATTTAAATAAATTGTATTATAAATTACTTTTTGTCTGGTTGTCATGCTAGACTAATTTAAATTGATTTCAATTATTTGCAATGAAAAATAAAAAAATTTTGCAAATTATTAACTTTGATTAAAAAAAAATTATAAACAATTTTTAAAAAATTTTTTCGGCTTAATATTTTCAGGGATTCTTCTCAACTATATTAAGAGTAAAAGAGAATATTTTCGTTCAATAAGAAAATTTTTTAGTTTTAGGTGATCCGTTTGAGAAATTCTGACACACATTTCTTTTAAAACAAGAAAAAAATATAGAAAAAGTCGCATTTTTCAAGATATCCGAGTGCGCTAAAACAAAGCATTAAGCGCCAATTTTTCATAGGTTAGATTATTATGGTTAAATCAGTGAAAAATTCTTACTTAGTTAAAATTTATGATAATTATAAATAATTTTTTATTATCAATAAACTGATATTAATTATTGATAATTGGCTCTAAAAGTTAAAGTGTCGTGCTGCCGCTTAATGCTTTGTTTTAGCGCACCCTTCGTTTATAAAAATAATTAAATTTTTTCAAATGATTCCTAATATTTATTAAAATAATTGGATTCTTACGAAGAATAAATTATATTAAAGTTCCTGAATATATAAAAAATAATAACAAAATATCGATATTTTTTTTGTATGTTCCTTATTTTCAAGAATTATAAAATTTAATTACCATCAGGTGGAGTGCTCGTTGCTGGAGGTGTTGAACCATCCGAAGCACATTTGCCACTCTCTTCACGGGGTTTCGAAACTTTTTTACTGGCGGTACTGGCACTCTAAAAAAAAAGTACAGTTTATTAAATGAAATTTAATTTTTTTTATTTAAAAAATTTAATGAATTTTCAAAAATTAATTAGAAAGAAAAAAAATTAGAAACAAACGAAAAGTTTAAAAAGATAAAAATAAACTCAAAAAAATTTTTTTTTAAATTATTTTGTTTGTTTGTTTTTTTTAATAGTAGACATTTTTGTTTTACTCTTGTAGAAAAATAAAAACATTTGTTAAGAATATCTTTTAGAAAAATAGAAATAATTTTTTTATATTTAAAAAGAAAAATTTTTTTTATCATCTTCAGAATGTCTACTATTTTCGTTCAACAAAATTCCCGGTTTTTCCCGGCTATATCCTAATTTAATTTTAAACTGTAACATATTTAAAATTACTTTTATTCTTTTAATTAAATTATTGTTTTCCACAATTTTTTAACTAAAATTTGTTCATTAATTTAATTATTATTAATAATTACTGAAAAATTTCTTTTAACATTCATTTTCAAATCCATTTCTTTACAATATTCAATTTTACGAAATTTCATCGATTATTCATATATTCAGAAATTCTTCAATCAAATATATACTTATTAGAAAATAAAAACTTTAAATAAATTTAAAAAAATTTTGACTATAACTTTTTTAAACTTTTGAAAATAATTGAATTCTTGATACGAATTTTTTAATAATATTTCTTTTTAAATACCTAATTATTTTTAATACATGAAAATAAATAATTTATTAAATAATTGAATGTTTCTCAAAATTGAATTCTCATGAAGAATATTATTAACAAATTTTTAAATAATTGCACTAATTTGACGAATTTTAATTATAAAATTGAAAATAATAATTAAATCCCTGTAAGAAATTGTATTACATATTTATAAAAATAATTTAATCTCTGTAAACAACATGAATTGAATATTTTTGAAAATAAAATAGAATTATCGCGAAAGAATTTGTAAAAAAAATTTTAAAGAATTCATTTCTTTTGGACAATTTTATTAAAATAGTAGATATTGAAGTGAATTTTTGAAAAAAATATTGAATTTGTTAAAAATAATTTCATTAAAATTTTTGAAAATTATCGAATTTTGAAGAAAAATTTTAAAATTTATAAAGATAATTGAAATTATGACGATAAATTTTTTTAAACTTTTGACCATAATTGAATTTCTTTGATGAATTTGAATAAAATTTTTAAGAATAATTATACGCATTTTTCGAGAAATTCCATTAAAATTGTATTAAAATTAATTGAAATTTTGGGATGAGTTTTATTATTTATTAAAATAATTGTAAATCTATAAATTTTTTGATTATTTATGAAAATAATTGAATTATTGCGAAGAAGAATTGTAAAGGCTTTTTTACTCTTTTAAAATTGAATTAAGAAATTTGAATTAAAGAAAAATTAAATTTCAAGAATAAGCACAATAACTGTAGAAAACAATAATTTTACAGGATTTCAATTAAAATTCCCTGACTTTTCCATGGTTTCTTCAAGGTTTATAACAATTTCATGACTTTTTTCTGATTTGCAGACAAAATTTTGGCTTTTTCCCTGACCCTAAAGAATATTATCTGATTTACTATATAAATTATTAGATACTTTTTAAAAAAAGATTTTATTACATTTACTTAGGAATTTCTTAAATCGTAAAATTATTCGCAAAAACCATTAACTAAATTTTTAAATGAGTAGATATTTAATTATTATCTTTCGATATGAAGTAAAATTCTTTAAAACAATATAAAAATTTTAATTTCCATAAAATTTAAAAAAAAAAAAGAATTAAATTATTTACAAAAATTATAATTAAATTCGTTGCAAGAATACTATTTTCTTCATAAATAATAAAATTCTTCACATGCTTTCAATTATTTTTAATACAATTTTAAATAAATTTCTTGAAAAATGAAATTATCTTCAAAAATTTTTTGCAAGCATTAAATTTTCAAAATTTACAATTTTAATACAACTTTTCAAAAGAATATAATTATTTAAATAAAATTCGTTGCATAAAATGCAATAATTATTTTTACAAGTAATAAAATTTTTCACGTCAATTCAATTATTTAAAAAAATATTGATAAAATTTGTTGCCATTATTTTCATAAATTAACAAATTTTTCTGATCATTTCAATTATTTATAATAAATTTTAAAGTAAATTTCTAGAAAAATGGAATTATTCTCTTAAATTATTTTTTGTAAGAATTTAATTACATTTCACGAATATAATGAAATTCTTCGTTGAAATTCAAATATATTTCTCAAAAGAATTCAATTATTTAAAAAAATGTAATAAAAATTCTATTCAGGAATTCAATTACCTTCATAAATTAATAACAATAAATAATTTATAACTTCTCTAAAATTTCAATTTTTTCTAATTACTTTAATAAAAATCCCTGACTTTTCCTTAAACTGTGGCAACCCTGAATATTTTTTATTTTCGAATAGGAAAAAAAGAGAAATAAACCTTTGCTCCTTGTTCCGGATTCATATTTGTCGCGCAACCTGCTCCTTTGTTTAGGGTTTCGACTGATCCTCGCCACTGATCGCCTCCTCTTTGTTATTTTCTCGAGTCACTCACGTGAATATTCTTTTGGGTAGCAAGAAACACAATTGTAGGTATTCCTCGTTCTAAAAAAAGGAAAATCTATTAGTAATTCAAAAATACATAATAATAAATATTATAATTAAATTTGTTAAAAACACCATTGATTTAAAAATTTTAGAGAATTCGAGGAAAAAAAAAGCGCAACAGTTAAAATGAAAAATTAAGAGAAAACTATTGTATAGATTAAATTCATGAGAATGTGAAGCGTGCAAAAATGAAAATATTACGCTTCACTTCACAAATTTGTCTTTTTTTGAAATTTTATTTTATAAAAAAATGTTTAATAAATTAATAACAAAGATAGCCCACCCGAAAATAATAGACAGAATGCAAAATTGAAAATTAATTTAATGAAAACTGACAGATTAACACGTGTGGAATAATTTTTTTCTTTTTAAATAAATTTATATTTTCTTTGTATAAATATTGAGAATTTCATAAGTTAACAAATTTTTCTGATCATTTCAATTATTTATAATACAGTTTAAAGTAAATTTCTAGAAAAATGGAATTATTCTCTTAAATTATTTTTTGTAAGAATTTAATTACATTTCACGAATATAATGAAATTCTTCGTTGAAATTCAAATATATTTCTCAAAAGAATTCAATTATTTAAAAAAAATGTAATAAAAATTCTATTCAAGAATTCAAATAACCTTTATAAATTAATAACAATAAATTAATAACAATATTCCCAGGATTTCAATTATTTTTAAAACAATTTTAAGTAAATTTAATTATCAATTATGTATTTTTAAAAATTCATGCTATAATTATCTAAAATTCTAATTAATATTCATTTTTAAATCAATTTTTAATTGAAAATTCTATGAGCATTCAACTATTTAAATACAAAAATAAATAATTTATTGAATAAATGAATGTTTCTCGAAACAAATTTCGAGAAATTTTAATAAAATTTTCAAGCGTAATTAAATTTTTCCAGAGGAATTCAACTAAACTTGTATGAAAAATAGTTGAAATTCTATGATGAACTTTATTATTCATGAAAATAATGAAATATCTGTAAAAAATGTTATTATTTATGAAAATAATTAAATTATTGCAAAGTTTGCTTAGAATTTTATCAACATTTTTTGTTTTAAATAATTTAATTTTTTTTGAAAAATTCCATTAAAATAGTAGATATTAAAAATAATTAAAATGAGGAAAATTTTTGAAAATTTTTAAAAATAATTGAAATTTTGCCAAGAATTTTATTAAATCTTTTGAAAATAATTGAAATTTGGAGAAAAATTTTATTATTTTTAAAGATAATTGAATTTTGACAAGAATTTTTAAAAATTTTTGAACATAATTGAATTTTTGCAAAGAATTTTATTACTTTTGAAAATAATTGAATTTCTGCAATCATTTATAACTTCTTCAAAATATCAATTTTTTCTAGTTACTTTAATAAAAATCCCTGACTTTTCCCTGACCTGTGGCAACCCTGAACAAATAGAAATAATTTTTGTTATTTATCTTTGAATAAAAAAAAAATTTTTTTCGTCATTTTTTAGAAAAACAAAGAAATATTTTTTATTTTCATTTAGGATAAAAAGAGAGAAATAAACCTTTGTTTCTTGTTCCGGATTCATGTCCATCGCGCAACCATCGCTGCTATATTGTTTCGATTGATCCTCGCCGTTACTTTTATTATTCCAAAAATGTGTGATATTATCGCTCGAATCACGATAATAATCTCTATGTTGATATTCGCCTCGCCACTGCTGATGATAGTTCTCCACCTCCTCTTTGATAGATAGTTTCTCGAGTCACTCACGTGAATAATCTTTTGGGTAGCAAGAAACACAATTGTAGGTATTCCTCGTCCTAAAAAAAGGAAAATAGATTATTAATTTAAAAATACATAATCAGGGTTGCCAAGCTTTTGCTCATTTCATATTCCCTGACTTTTACAAGTTTTCCAGGTTAAAAAACGGAATTTTTCCATGTTTTTAAAACCTAAAATCATCATTTTATACCTATTATAAGAATATTGTTACTGTAACTTATTCAAAATTACTTTCATTCTTTTAATTCAATTATTGTTTTGCACAATTTTTAACTAAAATTTGTTCTTTAAATTAATTATTATTAATAATTTCTGAAAAATTTCTTTTAACATTCATTTTCAAATCCTTTTGTTTACAATTCAATTTTACGAAATTTCATCGATTATTCATATATTCAGAAATTCTTCAATCAAATATATATTAGAAAATAAAAACTTTAAATAAATTAAAAAAAATTTTGACTACAACTTTTTTAAACTTTTGACCATAATTGAATTTTTGCGAAGAGTTTTATTACTTTTGAAAATAATTGAATTCTTAAGACGAATTTTTTAATAATATTTCTTTTTAAATACCTAATTATTTTTAATACATGAAAATAAATAATTTATTGAATAATTGAATGTTTCTCAAAATTGAATTTTCATAAAGAATATTACTAACAAATTTTTAAATAATTGCATTATTTTGACGAATTTTAATTATAAAATTTTAAGAATAATTACATTTTTCGAGGAATTCGATTAAAATTGTATCAAAAATAATTAAAATTCTGCTATGAGTTTTATTATCTATGAAAATAATAAATAAATCCCTGTAAAAAATTGTATTATATATTTATAAAAATAATTGAATCTCTGTAAACATAAATTGAATATTTTTGAAAATAATAGAATTATCGCTAAGAAATTTGTAAAAAAATTTCAAAAGAATACACTTCTTTTGGACAATTTTATTAAAATAGTAGATATTGAAGTGAATTTTTGAAAAAAATATTGAATTTGTTAAAAAGAATTTTATTAAAATTTTTAAAAATGATTTAATTTTGAAGAAAAATTTTAATATATTTATAAAGATAATTGAAATTTTGACGATAAATTTTTTTAAACTTTTGACCATAATTGAATTTCTGCGAAGAATTTTATTATTTTTAAAAATAATTAAATTTATTTGATGAATTTGAATAAAATTTTTAAGAATAATTATACGCATTTTTCGGGGAGTTCCATTAAAATTGTATTAAAATTAATTGAAATTTTACGATGAGTTTTATTATTTATGAAAATAATTGTAAATCTATAAATTTTGTTATTATTTATGAAAATAATTGAATTATTGCGAAGGAAAATTGTAAACGCAACTCTTTTAAAATTGAATTAAGAAAATTGAATTAAAGAAAACAATAATTTTACAGGATTTCAATTAAAATTCCCTTACTTTTCCAGGTTTTTTCAAGGTTTATAAAAATTCCCTGACATTTCCAGGTTTCCAGGTTGCGTGGCAACCCTGATAATAATAAATATTATAATAAAATTTGTAAAAAACACCATTGATTTAAAAATTTTAGAAAATTCGAAGAAAGAAAAAAACCGCAATAGTTAAAATGAAAAATTGAGAGAAAAATAGAAATTATTTTTGCTATTTTCTTTATAAAAAACAATCAAAAACAATTTTTATTTTCTTTTACAACAGGGTTGACACAATTATTTAATTTTATTCTTCCCTGACTTTTCTCTGATTTCCAGACAAAATTTTGACTTTTTCCCTGACCCTAAAGAATATTCTGATTTACTATATAAATTATTAGATACTCATAAATAACATTATATTACATTTACTTACAAATTTCTTAAATTGTAAAATTATTCGCAAACATCAATAACTAAATTTTTAAATGAGTATTTAATTATTATTTTTCCATAAGAATTAAATTTCTTCAAAACATTCAAATTCAAACATTTTTAAACTTAACAACTTATAAGAATATTATTATAAAACATGAAGGATTTCAATTATTTTTAAAACCATTTTAAGTAAATTCTTCAAAAAATGTAATTATTTTTAAAAATTTTGTTAATATTCTTTGAAAGAATTCAATTATTAATTATGAATTTTTAAAAATTCATGCTATAATGCTTTTAATATTCAATTATTATCTAAAATTTTAACTAATATTCATTTTTAAATCAATTTTTATTGGAAAATTTTACGAGCATTCAATTATTTAAATACTAAAATAAATAATTTATTGAATAAATAAATGATTCTCGAAACTAAATTATCATACAAAATTTTATCAACAAATTTTAATTTTTTCGAGAAATTTTAATAATTGAAATTCTATGATGAACTTCATTATTCATGAAAATAATAAAATATCTGTAAAAAATGTTATTATTTATGAAAATAATTAAATTATTGCAAAGTTTGCTTAGAATTTTATCAACATTTTTTGTTTTAAATAATTTAATTTTTTTTGAAATATGATGAACTTCATTATTCATGAAAATAATAAAATATATGTAAAAAATGTTATTATTTATGAAAATAATTAAATTATTGCAAAGTTTGCTTAGAATTTTATCAACATTTTTTTAAAAATAATTTAATTTTTTTTGAAAAATTTCATTAAAATAGTAGATATTAAAAATAATTAAAATGAGAAAAATTTTTGAAAATTTTTAAAAATAATTGAAATTTTGCCAAGAATTTTATCAAATCTTTTGAAAATAATTGAAATTTGGAGAAAAATTTTATTATTTTTAAAGATAATTGAATTTTGACAAGAATTTTTAAAAATTTTTGAACATAATTGAATTTTTGCAAAAAATTTTATTACTTTTAAAAATAATTGAATTTATTTTTATATAGGATAAAAAGAGAGAAATAAACCTTTGTTTCTTGTTCCGGATTCATGTCCATCGCGCAACCATCGCTGCTCTATTGTTTCGACTGATCCTTGCCGTTACTTTAATTATTCCAAAAAATGTGTGATATTATCGCGCGAATCACGATAATAATCTCTATGTTGATATTTCTCTCGCCACTGCTGATGATAGTTCTCCACCTCCTCTTTGATAGATAGTTTCTCGAGTCACTCACGTGAATATTCTTTCGGGTAGCAAGAAACACAATTGTAGGTATTCCTCGTCCTAAAAAAAGGAAAATCGATTAGTAATTAAAAAATACATAATAATAAATATTATAATAAAATTAGTAAAAAACACCATTGATTTAAAAATTTTTGAGAATTTGAAGAAAGAAATAAACCGCACTAGTTAAAATGATAAATTGAGAGAAAAATATAAATAATTTTTGTTATTTTCTTTATAAAAAAACAAACAAAAACAATTTTTAATTTCTTTTACAACAATAGGGTTGACACAAATATTTAATTTATTTTATTCTTCCCTGACTTTTCCCTGATTTCTAGACAAAATTTTGATTTTTTCCCTGACCCTAAAGAATATTCTGATTTACTATAATATAAATTATTAGATACTCAAAAAAAATTATTCTATTACATTTACTTACGAATTTCTTAAATTGTAAAATAATTCGCAAAAATCAATAACTAAATTTTTAAATGAGTAGGTATTTAATTATTATTTTTCCATAGGAATTAAAATTCTCCAAAACAATAAAAAAAATTTAATTTCCATAAAATTTATCAAAAAAAAAAAAAAAAGAATTAAATTTTATACAAAAATTATAATAAAATTCCTTGCAAGAATACTATTTTCTTCATAAATAATAAAATTCTTTACATGGTTTCAATTATTTTTAATACAAGTTTAAATAAATTTCTCGAAAAACGAAATTATTTTCAAAAATTTTTGGCAAGCATTAAATTTTCAAAATTTACAATTTTAATACAATTATTTTTACAAGTAATAAAATTTTTCACATCAATTAAATTATTTACATAAATTATAATAAAATTCGTTGCAAGAATACTATTTTTTTCATAAATAATAAAATTCTTCACATGGTTTCAATTATTTATAATAAAATTTAAAGTAAATTTCTAGAAAAATGAAATTATTATTCTCTTAAATTATTTTTTGTAAGAATTTAATTACATTTCACGAATATAATGAAAGTCTTCGTTGAAATTCAAATATATTCACAATCTACTTTTTTAATCAAAGTTTTCAAAAGAATTCAATTTTTTAAAAAAATGTAATAAAAATTCTATTCAGGAATTAAATTATTTTCATAAATAATAAGATTCTTTACATTATTTTAATTATTTTAAAAAAACATTTAAGGAAATTAATTGGAACAATTCAATTACCTTAATAAATTAATAACAATCTTCCCAGGATTTAAATTATTTTTAATACAATTTTAAGTAAATTCTTTGAAAGAATTCAATAATCAATTATGTATTTTTAAAAATTCATGCTATAATTATCTAAAATTTTAATTAATATTTATTTTTAAATCAATTTTTAATTGAAAATTCTATGAGCATTCAATTATTTAAATACAAAAATAAATAATTTATTGAATAAATCAATGTTTCTCGAAACAAATTTCGAGAAATTTTAATAAAATTTTTTAGCATAATTAAATTTTTCCAGAGGAATTCAACTAAACTTGTATGAAAAATAATTGAAATTCTATGATGAACTTTATTATTCATGAAAATAATTAAATATCTGTAAAAAATGTTATTATTTATGAAAATAATTAAATTATTGCAACATCAATAATTTCATTTTTAAATCATTATTATTTTTTATAGGAATTAAGGATTTCAAATCAAAACCTTCTGAAATTAAACGACTTATAAAAAATTGTTATAAAACATGAAAAAATCGATTAAAATCAAAGCAATTGATTTCTTCACGTTTTATAATAAATTAAAAATGTCAGAGTGATAAAATCATGATTTTATATTATAAGAATATTGCAACTATAAATTTAAATTTTCAAACATTTTCATTTTTTGACCCTTTTCAAAATTCACTTATTTATAAAAATTCACGCTATGATGCTTTTAATATTCAAATAATTGAATTCCCATGAAAAAAATGTATTATTTATTTATTTGTAAAAATAATTGAATTCTTAAGAAGAATTGTATTGAAAATAATTGAATTGAATAGGAAAATTTTATTAAAATTGCAATATTATTAACTAATTCTTGTAAAGAATTTTGTCAAAATTTTTTTAAATAATAAATTTTTAAAAAGAATTTTATTTGAATTTTGCGAAATAATTGATTTTCTCAGAACTATTTTTCTCTATTCTTTGAATATATATGAATTCTTACTATAAACTTCATTATTAAAAATTAAAAATAATTGAATTGGTGCGAAGAAATTGATAAAAAATCGGAAAGTAATTGAATTGCTGTGAAATTTTTACTAAAATTTCGTTAAAATAATTGAATTTTTTTTGAAAAATTTTATTAAAATAGTAGATATTAAAAATAATTGAAATGAGAAAAATTTTTGAAAATAATTGAAATTTTGCCAAGAATTTCATTAAAATTTTTAAAATTAATTTAATTTTGAAAAAAAATTTTATTATTTATAAAAATAATTGAAATTTTGACGAGAATGTTTATAAATTTTTGAAAATAATTGAATTTTTGTAATCAGTTGTACTTAAAATTTCTATTTAAAATGATTAAAAATAAAATTTTTTAAAAATTTTATATTGTAGCCTTTGTAGTTGATCTATTTATGCAGATTTTAAACGCAACTCTTTTGAAATCTAATTAATTTTGAAAATTTTGAAGTAAAATTATTCATTAAATAATTTCTAAGTAATAATTTTATGATAGTTGTTCAAGAATTAAGTTATTTAAAAAGAAATTATTGTCGGAATTAGAAAAAATTAAAGGTTTTGAATCATAATTCTTGCCAATTTCATAGTTTATGAGGCAAACAAAATAAATCTTTTGAAAATAATTGAAATTTAGAAAAGAATTTTATTATTTTTAAAGATAATTAAATTTTGACAAGAATTTAAAAAAATTTTTGAACATAATTGAATTTTTGCAAAGAATTGTATTACTTTTGATAATAATTGAATTTCTGCAATCATTTATAACTTTTCCAAAATTTCAATTTTTTCTAGTTACTTTAATAAAATTCCCTGACTTTTCCCTGACCTGTGGCAACCCTGAACAAATAAAAATAATTTTTGTTCTTTTCTCATTGAATAAAAAAAAAAATTTCGTCATTTTTCAGAAAAATAAAGAAATTTTTAATTTTCTTTTAGAAAAAGAAAATATTTTTTATTTTCGAATAGGAAAGAAAGAGAAATATACCTTTGTTCCTTGTTCCGGATTTATGTCCATCGCGCAACCATCGCTGCTCTTTTGATTCGACTGATCCTCGCCGTTACTTTTATTATTCCAAAAAAGGTGTGATAATATTATCGCGCGAATCACGATAATAATCTCTATGTTGATATTTGCCTCGTCACTGCTGATGTTGATGATAGTTGATAGATAGTTTATCGAGTCACTCACGTGAATATTCTTTCGGGTTAGCAAGAATCACAATTGTAGGTATTCCTCGTCCTTAAAAAAAGGAAAATCGATTAGTAAATCAAAAATACATAATAATAAATATTAAAATTAAATTTGTTAAAAACACCATTGATTTCACAATTTTAGAGAATTCGAAGAAAGAGAAAAACCGCAATAGTTAAAATGAAAAATTGAGAGAAAACTTTTGTATAGTTTAAATTCATGAGAATGTGAAGCGTCCAACAAAGGAAATATTACACTTCACTTGACAAATTTTTTTTTTGAAATTTTATTTTAGAAAAAAAAGTTTAATAAATCAATAACTAAGATAGCCCGAAAATAATAGACAGAATACAAAATTGAAAATTAATTCAATGAAAACTGAGATTAATACGAGTGGAATAATTTTTTTCTTTTCAAATAGCTTTATAATTACTTTTCCATAATAATTACTTTCAATTTTTTTTAATCGTTTATTTATTTGTAAAAAAAGATTAAAGAGAAAACTGGTTGCGAAACACTTATTTTACGAGTCATCGTCCAAATGGCGCTACTGTATGTATAAGTTTGTTAAACGCTTGAGGGGAAGGGGGTGGGGGTTGCTTTAAAATTTAAAAAAAAAGTCAACGTAATTTATGTATTATCCCGACAAACATTTTACACTTAAAAATTACACACACTTTCTAAATAACACTATTGATTTCACAATTTTAGAGAATTCGAATAAAACCGCACTAGTTAAAATGAAAAATTGACAGAAAACTTTTGTATAGATTAAATTAGTGAGAATGTGAAGCGTGCAAAAAAGAAAATATTACACTTCATTTCACATATTTTTTTTTTTGAAATTTTATTTTAGAAAAATAGAAATAATTTTTGTTATTTTCTTTATAAAAAAAAGAAAAAAAACAATTTTTATTTGATTTACACAACAAATAAAAATAATTTTTGTTATTTATCTTTGAATAAAAAAAAAATTTTTTCGTCATTTTTTAGAAAAACAAAGAAATATTTTTTATTTTCATTTAGGATAAAAAGAGAGAAATAAACCTTTGTTCCTTGTTCCGGATTCATGTCCATCGCGCAACCATCGCTGCTGTATTGCTTCGACTGATCCTCGCCGTTACTTTTATTATTCTAAAAATGTGTGATAATATTATCGCCTCGCCACTGCTGATGTTGATGATAGTCCTCCGCCTCCTCTTTGATAGTTGATCGAGTCACTGACGTGAATATTCTTTCTGGTAGCAAGAATCACAATTGTAGATATTCCTCGTCCTAAAAAAAGGAAAATCGATTAGTAATTCAAAGATACATAATAATAAATATTATAATAAAATTTGTTAAAAACACCATTGATTTTTAAATTTTAGAGAATTCGAAAAAAGAAAAAAACCGCACCAGTGAAAATGAAAAATTGAGAGAAAACTTTTGTATAGATTAAATTTATGAGAACGCGGACCGTGCAACAAAGATAGCCCACCCGAAAATAATAGACAAAATACAAAATTAATTTAATGAAAACTGACAGATTAACACGTGTGGAATAATTTTTTCTTTGCAAATAAATTTATGTTTTCTTTGTATAAATATTGAGAATTTCTTTTTTTGAAAAATTTACTTTGTTCCCAATTTTTTTTTTTTTTTTGAATCGTTTATTTACTTATAAAAAAAAATTAAAGATAAAACTGGATAAAACACTTATTTAACGATTCGTTGTCAAAATGGCGCTAATATATGTAAAAGTACGCTTGGGGGGAGGGTGCTATAAAATGGCTGAAAAAGCTAACGTACTTTAAGTATTATTCCGACGAAAATTTTCCACTTACAAATTACACACATTTTCTAAAAAACACCATTAATTTCACAATTTTAAAGAATACAAAGAAAAAAAAACACTTGTTAGTATAAAAAATTGAGAGAAAACTTTCGTATAGATTAAATTCATGAGAATGTGAAGCGTGCAAAAAAGAAAATATTACGTCACTTTATAAATTTTTTTTTGAAATTTTATTGTATAAAAAAGAAAGGTTAAATAAAAAAATTAATTAATTTAGTTTTAACACTTACTTCGATTGTTTTGAATCGTTTATTTATTTCGAAATAAACGATTAAAAAGAGCACTGGATAAAGGATTAATTTTTGGAGATGACGCACGAACTGCTAACTGTTGCTAAATGCGGAATGCGCGCATCTTCGCCACTGTGATTAAAAGTATGTAGTGGAGAAGATGAATCTGGCAACATTGGTAATGTTTGTGATTTTCATGAATTGGATGTTATGATTGGCCTATTTGAACGTGTGAATTTCTCGATTTTAAGGGGCAAAGCAATTGGCTTAGAATTTCTTGAATACTTCTCCCATTGGTCGGAAGATTAGAAAAGGGGTGAGTGGTGGGAAATTGCACTCTTTGCGCGCCAATTTACAAAAATTTTAATTATAAACATTAATGAAAATAACAAACTTATCTCAAGCTTGAAATAAGTTGAGTGCAATTGCATTTTTTGTTTTGTAAACATTGTAGGTAAATACATAATTTATTAATAATTTACAAATTTTTAATTTTCTATCCCATGGAAATAATATTTGATTGCATATTTTGCGAAAATTTTTCTAACCTAAAAGTAGTTTTTTAATTTTTAATCTCAATGTGAAAAAAATAATAGAACAGAAAAAAAATACAAAGAAATATTTAAATATTGATTTTTTGAGGTTATGTTTTGTCACTAATAAATTTTTAAAAAATACTATAATAACAAATTAACTATAATTCGTCTTATTCATTTTTTCATTCTGTCCACACCTGAAGTTAGTTTTTGAGTACTCTTTTGTTTTTTTCTTTAAAAAAAATTTGTTTTGATAAATCAAAAATATGCAGGTATTTTTTCATAATTCATAATAAAATAATATTAGAAATTAGAAAAATTAAAAAAAAATGATGATTAACATAAATGAAAATTTTTTCCTATTTTGTTTATTATATGTTTTTTTAATAATACATTTCGTTTGACTGATTTAAATAATGCAAATTTTTCTCTTGTTTATTTATAAAAAATTAAAAATTTGTTAAAACATTATGATTAAGAAATAGTAAATAAATACCCATTTTATGCATAATTTTTATTTTTCAATAACAAAATTGTTTACAAACTCATTCTTTTATTTTTGGGAAAAAACATTACATATTCCCGTTTATTTTTGTAGAAAATTTTCAATTTTCATAATTTACATTATTTCAATTTTTTAATTAAAAATTTAAAAATCGTAAAATAATTGAATTCTTGTGGAATTTTAAATATTTTTGATAATAATTAAATGTTTGTGTACGATTTTATTAAATTTTTTTAAAATAATTAAATTTTTCTCGGAAAATTTTATTAAAATAGTAGATATTGAAAATAATTGAAATTAGAACAAGAATTTTATTGTCATTTTTGAATTTCTGCAAAAAATTATTTGCAATTTCTCCAAAATTGAATTGACCCTGACAGTTGGCAATGACAAAAACAATACACATTACACTACAAATTACACATTATTTTTTTCTATTTTAGACGCTGCCTAAATAAGTTCAGTGCAAATGCATTTTTTGTTTTTTTTCCCATGGAAATAATATTCAATTGAATATTTAGCGATTTTTTTAATTCTTAATCTCAATGTGAGAAAAATAAAAGAACAGAAAAGAAAAATACAAAGAAATATTTAAATATTGATTTTTTGAGGTTATGTTTTTTCACTAATAAATTTTTTAAAAAAAGTACAATAATAACAAATTTATTTTAAATTATCGTCAAAAATGACAATTGTGGGTGAACGTAAAATTCTCCTATTTCAATATGAACTAAAATATTTTCATCACTGCCACCGACAATTATTATAGATAATTCTCAAACATTCCAATACATCTTCAAACATGCCAATACTGAGAATATTTTTTATCGAATATTTCAATAATAATTTCTCACTTAATAAACTTAAATAGAGATCGGAAATTATTTTCACTATTTCAAAATCTGGTTTTGTGGCACTAATAAATGAGAGTTTTATATACGATTTCGATTGTATGCGTTTTTTGTTTAGTAAACTTTTCAGATTTATTTTTTAAAATAAAAAGAAGAGTTTTCAAAGATTTTCTTTTACATCTTTTTCCGCAATTTGTCAACTGGCGAGGGCAAAAAGTGCGAAGACCATCCATCGAATCTAAAAAAATTTATTTATTTAAACATTTTTTTTTTTTAATTTTTTTAAATTTAAATTGAAATCTTGTTTAAATTAAAATGTAATTAAACTACCGTTAACTAAAAGGGCTTACGCGTGACTTTCGTTGGCCCCGTGTTCAGTGAGTCTCCTCTATTCAAGGGGCCAACGAAATCCGTGCGTGATTACACAAGAAACTAAAGTTCCGAATTTTTTGATTTGAAATAATTTGATAACAATATTATTATTATTATTATTATATATATATACCTGATTATGAACAAACGATTTTTATCGAAATTTAATATGCCAGAAATCAAAATTTTCCACGCATGAAACAAACGGAAATAGAGGAGTTGCCTTTTCCAGTACTATTTCATACGAAATATCGTCAATAGACTTTTTCTTATTTGTCTTTATCTTCAAATGAAAATGTTTGAAAATTATGTAGTCCAATGAAATATTTTAATCCACTTTCAAGTTTCTCGATATCGAATTTGTGAAATCTGTAAGTAAAGGAAAAAAAGTTTTTAAATATTGAATTTTAATAAAAATAAAAATTGAATTTAAAAATTAATTACAACATATTTAAAAAATTGAAAATTAAATCTAAAAATTTAAGAACTGAATTTTATATTACTTTAATTCAATTATTTAATTTTACATTCAATTCTTAAATTTTTATATTCAGTTTTTAAGTTTTTAATGTTTTAAAACTTTATTAAAATTGAATAATTGAAATTAAATGATACAATTTATTTATAAAATTTTAATTATGTCAATTTTTTAATGAACTTTTAATTATTTTCTTAATAAATAATAACATTCTTTATGAAGAATTTAATTATGTTTGATAAATATTAAATATTTTAAAAAGAATTCAATTATTTTTAATAAAATTCAACAATGAAATATTTAATTTAAAATTTTGAAAATGCATAATTATTTTAAAATTATTATTAGGATTTTGAAAAATGTTAATAAAATAATAAATTCATATTGTAAAATTCTTTGCAAGAATTCATAATGCTGGAATACAACGAGACTATTAATATAGAATTTTTTTTTTATTTACCTATAAGTTGTACTTTTTGTTCATTTCCGAAATTAATGCCATTCATCGATACAGGTAATAATTTGTTGAAACTAATTAAATAGAACAGTAGGGCATTTCCACGAAAAAGCGTCTGGGCGTCACTATGATTAAATAAACCATCTGTTTTCTAATTATTATTAAATAAATTTTTTTTACAGCATAATGTATTTAAAGCTATACTATTCTTATGTGGTGACGCACTATTTTAATAATATACTTAATATTAGTGGAATAAACAATGTTTATTAATTGTGAGGTTATGTCGCACTGTGTTATTGAAAAATTAACCCATCTTTCTTTTTTGGGAAAAATGTGTTATGGACGTTATGGAGAGTTCACCTTCACACAAGTGCAAAATGTATGTATGTATAAAACATATATTAGACCTGTATCCGCAGTGGCGGATCCAAACAAGGTTTCTTTTGGGGTTGACACATCCATTCAAAAGAAATGAAACCAATATAATGTTGTCTCTTTCTATCTCATAGGAATATTCGATTCTTGGGGGGCCAAGCACCCGTGGCCCCAACTTTGGATCCGCCACTGATTCAAGGACGAAAGTTGGATGAGCAACGCCATGACAAATGGCGCGATTTTAAAAGTTTCAATAAATTGAATTGTTTATTGTGCTAATATAATAATTCAAATAAAAAACTTAAAAAAAAAATATTATTCCAGAAGCAAAATTAATTTTTAAATAGATATTAATTTAATAAAAATTGTAAAATTAATTAATTTCAACAACTTTTGGTAATTTTTTATTATTAGATATATCCAAGACATTTATGGCGATTAATATTCGTCGTGTGCTTTTCTTCAAAAATCACAATAGAATAAAAAAAAATTATTTCACCCATATTGCAGAAGTGGAATATTGTCGATATGTAGTCACTGATCGGTGGATAAAAATTTACCAGAATTGATGAAATTTTTATGACAACGAACAATGAAACTATATACATTTCCAGAAAGTTTCGATTTTTATATATATTGCATATAAAGTATTATAAATATAATAAAAAATAAAATCAGTTAATTTAATTTTTCTCAAAAATTGTTTAACTTCTTTTTCAGTACATAAGTCATCCAAATCGTCTTTCAATGTTACCAGCAATTATATTTATACTAATATTCTTTCTGTTCCAAGCAGGAAGTTTTTACATTTATTGTCATTGTGCAGAAATGTTGCAAGTAGAAGTAATGAAACAAAAAAATATTATTATTACAACAGTAAAAATATAAGAATAAAAAATTCTAAAATCACAAATTTTTTCCAGAGTTATGCATTCGCCGACACGGCTTACGAAACTGAATGGTTTAATTTGCCTTCGAAGGAAGCAAAATGTCTTCTGCTATTAATGCAGAGTGGTCATAAACCAGTTGAAATCACAGCCGGAAAATTTTGTATTCTTAATTTTATGATGTTTGGAAGTGTGAGTTTTGTTAATTTTTTTTCAAATAAACAATATATTTGCAGTGTATTCACTAAATATATAAATATTTTTTATTTTTAAAAAAATATTTTTTAAAATAAGGCAAATATAATATCAAATATTTTTTATTTTTAACCCTTGTGTATTTGGACTTATAGATTATCAAAACATCACTCGGATATTTGTCATTTCTGATAACGATGAAAAAATAAATAGAAATTAAAAATTACAATTAAATTGAAAAAAAAACAGATTTCACTTATTTAGAAAATGATGAATTACATTTTTGACTACTTACGTTGTAATGTAAAAACAGTTAAAACTTGAATAAATATAATTATACAATATTGAAAATTTACTTCTTTCTCCATCATATCATTTTGTTTTCATATTTATTCATTTTTTTGTATTCAATTATTATACTCTTCTTTTTCAGGTTCATTACTTTTTTCTTATATTAAATTTAAATTCAAATTTTTTGCTATGAACCAAACTGGTAAAATTTTATTACAGGACGTAAATTAAAATATTCTCAACACATTTTTTTAAGTAAAAGATATTTGAACTGTTAATGTTACAATAGTTGAAATTTTTTATATTTTTTATCTTTTTGTATGTAAGAAACATCACATACGAAATCTCAGAGGAGACAAACGAAGAGAAATAAAAATCGAAACAAAAAAATATTATTGCGCATGCACAAAAGTATAATTTCTTAATGGACATCATTACATTATTATCTATGGTTACATATTCTTGACTACCGCATTAATGCAAAATGACTCATTAGTTAACTTTTATAGAAATAAAATTTTTTTCCTATTCTTTTCCGATCTTTACTTAAAAAAATAGAAGTCTGATACTTTGTCTTTGGTTTAATTCAACTTTACGTTTTTATTTCTTTTTATTTTACATTATCTGGAAAATAATTTTCAATTTTATCCAAAAATACCACTGTATTTTTAAAAAACTATTGTATTCTTAAAACACCACTGTATTTTTAAAATACCATTGTGAAAATTTTTTATAATGACATGTTATAAATTTTTAATTGTTCAATATCAAATTGTTTCTTATCAAAAAAATTGTTTTCATTTATAACAAAAGTGTGAATATTAATTATTATATCTACATTGGATAAAAAATGAATCAAGAGTTTGGTACGTTAACGTATGAGAATTGAAAACTGTAAAAATTTTGATAGTCAATGTCTGAAAAAAATTTTTACATTCAAAACTGCAAAAAAAGATTTTAAATATATGTAAAATTTCAAAAAATTTTTCAAAAAAGCCAATTCAGGGTTGCCACAAAAATTTTATTTTATTTCTCCCTATAATTGTTCCTGATTTCCAGACAAAATTTTGACTTTTTCCCTGACCATAAAGAATAATTCACTTTAAAAATGATTATTTGAAAACATCAATAATTTCTTTTTTAAATAAATATTTAAACATTATTATTTTTCCACAGGACTTGAGATTTTCAATAATTATTTTCATCATTTCAATTCAATTATTATTTTATAAAATTTTTAACTAATTAATTAATTAATTTTTAATTAATTTAAACTAATTAATTTTTAACTAATTCTTTTTAAAATCTACTTTTAATAATTTTTTTTTTTTTTGAAAAAGAATTCCTAAAAAGAATTATGAAAGTAATGGAAATATAGCGAAGAAATTTAAAAAAAAAATTTTGGAAATAATTGAATTCCTGTGGAATGTTTATTATTTAATGAAAAGAAAATTAAATGTTTGCGTAAAAATTTATCAAAAAAATAAAAAAAAAAAAAAAAAAAATTTAAATTTAAAAAAAAAAAATTTTTAATTTAAAAAATTTTTTTTCTAATTAAATTCTTTTGGAAATAATTTTATTAAAATAGTAGATATTAAAAAATCATTAAATTGAGGAAAATTTTTGAAAATAATTGAATTTCGGAGAAGAATTTTATTATTTATAAAGATAATTGAAATTTTGACGTGAATTTTTAGAAATTTTTAAACATAATTGAATTTTTGCGAAGAATTTTATTACTTCTGAAAATATAATTGAATTTATAACTTTTCCAAAATTCAATTTCTTTTATTATTTTTAACTAAAATTCTTCTATAAAAATTCATTATTGTTAATAATTAATTAAATACAATACTGAAACATTTAATTAATTTCAGAAGAATTTGAATTATTAAAATTTGTCAAAAATCTAAGTTCTTTAAAATTTCTAATTAAATTCATTCAAAATTGAAATTTTCTAAAATTTCAAATTGTGTGTCAATCCTGTAATTGAGTTGTAATAGAAAATAGTTCTCACTATACAAAATTTTTATTGGTGACTTCATTTTTATTTGTGTTATCATTAATTATAATTTTTATTTTATTGAATTCATTGAATTTATTGAATTTATTGAATTTATTAAATTTATTGAATTTAACGAATTTATTCAATTTTTTTAAGCATTGGAAATTCTGACAAAATACACTCGCTTTAGTTTAACAGCATTCGGTGCTTGGCCAAAAATAGAAAATGAAAAAGTTAGCAAATGCTTGTTTATCTGTTGCTTTTTGTATGTACTTTTCTTTTTATTCCTACCTCAAACTATTAAAATGCTTCAAGTTTGGACTAATTTTGATCTTTTGAGCAATGTCCTCTGCACTGCAGAGTTGACATTTTTCATCGCTATAACAAAGATGGTTGTGATTTTTGCCAGCAAGGATAGTACGTATTTTTGAATTTTGAAATCGTTTTTCAAATTTTTATTCGCATTTTTATAGTTTATATCCACGTTAGTAAAAAGTTATCAAAATTAAAAAATAGAAACTTTGAAAAATGTGATTTTTCCATATAAATATTTTTTTCCGTGTAGGAAAAATATTTATAAATATTTATTAATTGACTTTTTCTTTTTCTGTTTTTTTTTTAATTTCGTGACAATTTTTCCAGAAATGACAATAATTTACAACAATATGATTGAACATTGGAACAAAATTAAAGATGAAAAAGAATTGAGCATAATGATGGAGAATCGTCGACGAGGGAAAAAATTTGCAACGATTTGCGTCGTTTTGGCGTATTCAACAGTACATGGTCGTGTTTTTCAGTGGATTGTGGAAAATTTGAATAATTGGAAGAGTCCTGATTATTATAAAAATTACACTCTATTAGTTGAAGCATATTTTCCCTTTTAATGGAACTATAGTCCAATTTTTGAAATAACATGCTTGGTACAATACATCGGAATTATTTGTTCAACATTGTCCAATTGTGGAACCGATTGTTTCTTCAGTCAAATTACTTTTCATTTTGTTGGACAGTATCAAATTCTACGTGTAAAACTTGCTGAACTCATCAAAAATATAAGCAATAATACATCAAAGTTGGAATTTAAGGAGAAATTTAAATTTATTTTGTGCACTCATTGTCATATTATGAGGTGATTTTTCTTCAGAATAAAAAGAAAATCTTAATTTAAGATAAAAGATTTTTTTATTCACTAACAAAAAACAATATATTTGAATCAAACATATAATTATTTTTGTTCTACAGTCAATCGAAAATTATTTTTTAACTAAACATAATAATCTTAATTCAACACATAGATAATAAAGTTTGATTCCATAAAAATTACGTTTAATTCAATTATAAAATATGTTTTAATTCAAACATTTTTTTTTCGTTAGCTACTTATTTATAATTAAATTTTTTTTTCTTATTGTCTGTTATTATTCTTTATAATACTATCAAAAATATGTATATGTCTGTATATAATTTTATATATAATTAAAAATATATTCCCCTAAACAGCTGTATTGAGATATTAGAAAGCTCCTTCAATGTAATGTTTCTGATTCAATTACTCTGTTGCTCATTTCATTTTGTTTTCAAGCTTATTTTTTTATTTTGGTAAGTGTAAATTTTCTACTACGTTTAGAAAACTATTTTCTTTTAATAAAAAATTTTTATTTCGGAAAAAACTAAACAAAATTAAAAAATTTACTAACTTTTTCTGCGTAAAAAAAATTAATAAAAATAGATCAAAATAATGCTTAAATTGAATAAAATTATAAATATAAATATATGTTTTTCAGTTCGTAACAGACGAAAATGCAAAATCAATGCTACCATCAATTATGTTCATACTGATATTTTTCATGTTCCAAGCAGGAAGTTTTTACATTTACTGTCATTGCGCAGAAATGTTACAAATAGAAGTAATTTTCAAATAAATTAAAAATATAACAAAAATATATTTGTAATATATTTTTGCATAACAATAATTTTTTTTTAGAGTTTTGCGTTCGCAGAATCTGTATATGAATCAGAATGGTTCAATTTATCTGCTCAAAGAGCAAAATATCTTTTTCTACTAATGTTAAGAGGCCACAAACCAGTGTCTATAACTGCTGGAAAATTTTGTGTCATCAACTTCATGATGTTCGGTAGAGTGAGTTATAAATATTTTTCACTAACTCCCAAATAAATAATTATTAATAATATATTTTAATTTAATTTTAATTAATTAACTTATTTAATTTTAATTTACAAATATCATAGCGAAATTATTTTTATTAATAACAGAGATTTTATTAAAATTCCAGATTATGAAAACGTCTATTGGTTATTTATCATTCCTAATAACAATGAAAAGATAAATTCTCAACAAATCTGCAAAGCGCAGTAAAACAAAAAAATTAATTTGCTTCTTTATAAATATTTTACATAATATGTTTTTTTCTTTCTTCATTTATTTATTTGAATATTAATTAATAATTTCTAAATATTGTCAACAGGGATAATTTTGAAAAAAAAAATGTTACTACCGAAAATTTTTTCTCTGTAAAAATTGTTTTTACATTTTTCCAATAAATTATTCAAAATACTTTTCTATAAAGAAACAATACACATTTAATAAATATTTTTCACTAAAAAAATCAACTTTTTTGTTTTTACTTCTAAATTTATACAGTGAACAAAAATTTATTTGTTATATTTATTTCTTTTAAGTCACTTATCTCTCTAAATTTGAATTAGTAAAAATGTTTACAAACTTGAATAAGTGACTGAATTTTTGCTTTTGAATTATAGTAAATTTGACGAATAAATTAGTAGAAATTACTATTTATTAAGAAATTTAAGTACATTTTACTAAAAAATGAAATGAATTTTTATTAGTAAAATTTACTAGTTCAAAAGAAAGAAGTCATAGTCACTAAAACAAATTAGTAAACATTTTTATTGATTTAAATTAAGAGAGATGCACTTTATATATATAAATTTCACATTTTTAAGCAAAAATGTTGAATGATAAAATATTTATATTAAAATTTATTTTCTATTACACAAATTTATTTATATGACACCTTTTGTTGCAAAAGAAATAGATTCATTAAATTATCTTTCCTTTTTTTAACTTTCAACCTTTCAACACTTTTATTCCGCTTTTTCTCTTTTCATATAAAAAATCCAGAGAGAAGTACTAATACATTTCACGTCTAAAATCTACTCGCGGCGACAAACGATAGAAAATGAAAATTCAAAGAAAAATATCCACTGCGCCTGCGCAAAAATATGTAACAAGGTTCATTAATTTCTAATAAGTTGCTGCATTGAACAGAACTTATAATAATACCAAAATGATTCCTTATTACCTAAATTAGAGATAAACTTTCATGCTTCCTTATTCTTTTGTAATTTCCCTGAAAATTTATAACTTCAATTATTTTATGTCGCGGCTTATTTATAATATAGCTACAATGTTTCTAAATCTTTTACATTTTACATATTGTTCCATAAAACTTTTAATTTTACTCAATCGCTACGTGGAAATTCATTATTTTTTTTTCTTTTTAATAAGACAGTAGAATGTAACGATCTTTTTTTTTCTTTCTTCCTTGCGATAACAATCAGTTTTACTTGAAGAAATTTTGTATCTTTTTTGTATTTTTATATCTTTGTCATAACTGCGGAAAAGGAATTTAAACTAAGTTAAAAGAATTTAAATTAAAGGAATTTGAATTACATTAAACTAAATTATTGGAATTTAAACTAAATTAAATTAATACAAATTAATATAAATAGATATATAAAATAAATAACAAAAATAGAAAAACTCAAATACAAGAAATGAAAAAATCATTAAAAACTAAGGGTAAACATAAAGCAACGAAATAAATTACACTTTTGACAACGAGAAAATTAATTAATTAATTAATTAATTAATTAGTTCGAATTTAATTTGGTTTTTTGATTATAATATTTTTAATTAATTGTTAAAAATATTTCAAGATAACTACTTGGAAGATCTCACTTTTTTCTCTCGAATAAGCCTCAGCACTTTCGGAGCCTGGCCTAGTCAAAGTGAAAAAATATCAAGAACTTTTTTTACTATTAGTCTATTCTTTCTACTATTCGGTGTGACTATTCCTCAATTCTTTCGATTGTTTCAAGTTTGGCGCGATTTGGATCGTTTGAGTAATGTTTTGTGTACAGCAGAATTGCCATTCATTGTGGGAATAATAAAAATGATTGTCCTTTATCTCAATAAACAAAGTTTGTATCAAATTTATATTAAAGAAACATCAATTTCGTTTGACATAAAGTTCAATTGACATTTATGTCAAATGAACATAATACATAAAACATAACAGAAATTATGTTAAATAAGTTTTATGTCAAAGGAAACTTATGTTAAATGAACTTCAGTTCATTTAACATAAATTTCCTTTGACATAAAACTCATTTAACCTAATTTCCATTTGCCATAAAAGTAGCTTGATATAAATTTCAATTAACACAGATTTAATTTGTCAATTAAAATAATTTTACTTAAAATTTATTTGACATAAAATTCGTTTGACATAAACTTCATTTGACATAAAGTTCATTTTACATTTATGTCAAATGAACATAATACATAAAAAAAATAACAGAAATTATGTTAAATGAGTTTTATATGTCAAAGGAAATTATGTTAAATGCGTTTTATGTCAAAGGAAATTGATGTTAACTTTAGTTTAACTTTAGTTCATTTAACATAAATTTCCTTTGACATAATTTAACTCATTTAACATAATTTATATTTACCATAAAAGTAACTTGAAAATCATTTGACTTAAAATTTATTTGACAATTAAAATCATTTTACTTAGTTTGACAGTCAAAATCATCTTCCTTAAAACTTATTTGACAGTCAAAATTATTTGACATGAAATTCATTTGACAAAATCTTCATTTGACATAAACTTCATTTAACATAAAATTCATTTGACATAAACTTCATTTGACAAAAACTTCATTTTCCATAAACTTCATTTGACATAAAACTCAAATAATAATTTACATAAAATAATTTTAATTTAATTTCAAAACCTAATTCACGTTATTACAGAAATTTTGACTCTTTACGCTTACATGATGCACGATTGGAAGAGAAAAGAAAGCAATGAAGAATTAGAAATAATGATAAAGAATGGTCGTCAGGGGAGGAAATATTCACTGATATGCATAATAACTGGTCACATGACAGTCATTGTTCATGGTATACAATGCATTCTGGCAAACATATCAATGTGGAATAGTCCGGAGTATTATAAAAATTATACACTATATGTTGACGCTTATTTTCCATTCACATGGAACTATAGTCCAACATTTGAGTTTTTATGTTGTTTCGAGTACATCGGAGCAACTTGTGCGACATTTGCCATCAGTGGAACGGACAGCATCTATTGTCAAATATCATTTCACTATGCCGCACGATATCAGATTTTACGCCTAAGACTCAAGCGTCTTATTGAAAATTTTAATACATTCAAATGTGATTCCGAGTTCAATGCGGAATTTGGCAAAATTATAACCATTCACTACGATATCAATAGGTCATTTATGTTCTTAATTATTACATGGTTGCCACAAAATCTAGATTTCAAAATTCCAGGCTTTTTCCAGGTTTTCCAGGTTAAAAATATTAAAAATTCCAGGTTAAAATTTAGGAATTATTTGTGATGAAAAAACAAGTATTTTACAAAACTGCATTTTTATGTTTATTTTTCTGAAAGTGATACTTTTGATATTCGATTTTTCAATATATTTTTTTAAAATTATATGGTTTTTTCTATTGAAACTACTTTATTTCATACTCAATAGTAAGAATTTAAGTTGCGCAAAATTAATTTGAAAATAATAAAGTCTTTCTTCTTTGAATTTTACTCGGGCCAATATGTAAAATTTGAATATTTATAAAAGCAATAATCAAAAATAAAAGCAATCAGACCATTAACTTTATTCTAATGTGCATTTACATTTTTTTAGAATATTTTTAATGTATAAAAACATAATTAATCATCGTGAAGTAATTTTAACTTAAACGGAAGACAAAATTTAAACATTTTTATCACATATAAAACGGAGGTCAAAAAATTTTTAAAATGCACATAATGATAGAAAAAACATTGTATTTTCTGGCACTATTTTTAAAAAATTTCTAAGAGTTTGAAAAAAACCATAAAAATTTAGTTTTCTTATAGAACTCCTATTGGAGACATGTTAAAAAGACTTTAAAGATGAAATTATTTTAGCCATTGTATAAATTCAGTTAAATAAAATTGTTTAATTTTTTTAATGATAAGTAAGTGCTAAATTTTTTCTATGAAAATGGTTAATAATATTATCAGAGAGTAGATTTTATAAAATTAATCGAGATATCAAAAATGTCACTTTCAGAAGAATCAGCCATAATTAGCACATTGAAGTCATGTCTAAATTAAATAATTTTCATCTTCAAACTTTGTTTAAAATCTTGAACAAAAAGCAACTGGTAACAAAAAATTTTGACAATCGTAATACTAATAAAGATATAAAATCCTATTTTTCACAGTTTTATTTAATAATTAAAAGGAAAAATTAAATTAATTTAATTTAGTCAATAATTAAAAAAAAATTAAATTAATTTAAAGAGAAGATAACATGGAAAAGGAAAATTGCATGTTAACATTTTTAAAGAAAAATAAGGTCTGTGAAGCTGGCCGAACCACTTTTATAAAAATGAATTTAAATTATACCATTAATTAGTGCTCAATTAGTGCTATTTTTGTACCATATTGCCGAATTTAGTGCTCAATGTTTATTTAAAAAAAAACAATGGTTCTGCTGAGTGAACGTTCCGCTGGCCGGACCATAACGAAAAACGCTTTAAAAACGCCAACAGAATATTTATAAATAGCCTATTATTTAGTGCTCAATTAGTGCTCAAAGATTAACAAAATAAAAAATTTTTTTATTAATTATTTATTTAAAAAAAAAAAAATTTTTTGAATGAGTGAGTAATCCGTTATCCAGACCATAACGAAAAACGCAATAAAAACACCAACAAAATATTTATCGATAGCCTATTATTTAGTGCTCAATTAGTGCTCAAAGATTAACAAAATAAAAAATTTTTTAATTAATTATTTATTTAAAAAAAATTTTTTTTCGATTGAGTGACTAATCCGCCAACCGCACCATTACGACAGACACGTCAAAAATCACAACAAAATATTTATCAATACCCTAAAATTTAGTGCTCAATTAGTGCTTAAATATTAACACAATAAAAAATTGTTTATTAATTATTTATTTATAAAAAACATTTCTTCGAAAGAGTGAACACGTTAAAAATGTTTTAAATTCGTTTTATAATTCGTTTTCTTAGCCTATAATTTAGTGCTCAAATAGTGTTCGCAGATTAAGAAAATAAAAAATTTTTTTTATTAATTATTTATTTAAAAGAAAAACTTATTCAAATGAGTGAGCGAACCGCTATCCGCACAATTACGAAAAACACATTAAAAACGCCAACAAAATAGTTATCAATAGCATATTATTTAGTGCTCAATTAGTGCTGAAAGATTAACACAATTCAAAATTTGTTTATTAATTATTTATTTAAAAAACTAACTTATTAGCTTATTACTAACTCAGCGATCCGCTGGCCGGACCATAACGAAAAACACGTTAAAAACGCCAACAGAATATTTACAATTAGCCTATTATTTAGTGCTCAATTAGTGCTCAAAGATTAACACAATTCAAAATTTGTTTATTAATTATTTATTTATAAAAAACATTTCTTTAATAGTTCTAGAGTTCCTGATAGTTTTTAGAAATAGTTCCGGCGATTAAATAGTAAAAAATAAGTTTTTTCATAATAGGGGGCCAACTTCACGCAGTCCCTCACTATTGAAAAAGTGGATTTATAATTAGAGTTTTGAGTTGTTCTAATAGAGTTCTAGAGTTCCCTACATTTTATTCGAATAGTTCAGCCATGTAAAGTTGGCACTACTTTTTTGAAAAATCAAAAATTTTACAAGAGTTCTGGGCACTTTTGCAATAGTTCTAGAGTTCTCTAACGATTATTTAAATAGTTCTGATAATTAACAATAAAAAAAGCGACAATGAAAAATCATAGTGCTAACTTTGCATAGCACTATGATTTTTGCAAAAAAGAGTTCTGACCTAATATTCTGAAAGAGAATAAAGAGTTCTAGAGTTCTTTACTAAAAAAACAAGAGTTCTGCAAAATTTCAAAAGTTATTAACAAATTAAAAAAAGATATGAAAATAATATTTTGCAAGTTCTGAATAGAGTTCTGGCATCGTTGCGAAGAGTTCTATAAGTATGTCTAATGACATTTTGTTCTAAATCCAAAATCAAAAAAGTTACGGGACTATGAAGTTTTCTAAAATTTTCAAAATTTAAAATTCAGTGTTCTGAGAGTTTTGTAAAGAGTTCTGGCATCGTCATAAAGAGTTGTATAAGTATTTCTTGTGACATTTTGTTTTAAATCCAAAATCAAAAAAGTTACAGGACTTTGAAATTTTCAAAATTTTAAAATTCAGAGTTCTGAGAGTTCTGAAAAGAGTTCTGGCATCATCATAAAAAGTTCTATAAGTATTCCTAATGACATTTTGTTTTAAATCCAAAATCAAAAAAGTTACAGGACTTTGAAGATTTCAAGAAATTAAAAAAATTAAAAATTCAGAATTCTGAGAATTTAATGTTTAATAATTTTGGGACAATCATGTTGCACTTTCCTCAAACAGTTAAGTCCTGTAACTTTTTTGATTTTGGATTTAAAACAAAATGTCATTAGGAATACTTATAGAACTTTTTATGATGATGCCAGAACTCTTTTCAGAACTCTCAGAACTCTGAATTTTAAAATTTTGAAAATTTATAAAAATTTCAAAGTCCTGTAACTTTTTTGATTTTGGATTTAAAACAAAATGTCACTAGAAATACTTATACAACTCTTTATGACGATGCCAGAACTCTTTACAAAACTCTCAGAACTCTGAATTTTAAATTTTGAAAATTTTAGAAAACTTCATAGTCCCGTAACTTTTTTGATTTTGGATTTAGAACAAAATGTCATTAGACATACTTATAGAACTCTTCGCAACGATGCCAGAACTCTATTCAGAACTTGCAAAATATTATTTTCATATGTTTTTTTAATTTGTTAATAACTTTTGAAATTTTGCAGAACTCTTGTTTTTTTAGTAAAGAACTCTAGAACTCTTTATTCTTTTTCAGAATATTAGGTCAGAACTCTTTTTTGCAAAAATCATAGTGCTATGCAAAGTTAGAACTATGATTTTTCATTGTCGCTTTTTTTATTGTTAATCATCAGAACTATTTAAATAATCGTTAGAGAACTCTAGAACTATTACCAAAGTGCCTAGAACTCTTGTAAAATTTTTGATTTTTTAAAAAAGTAGTGCCAACTTTACATGACTGAATAGTTCTGATAATCCGAAGTCATAAAAAAATAATTGAAAACACGAGAATTTTTCAAAAAATCTAAAATGTTACGTTACAAGAGTTCTAATTAGAGTTCCGTTAGCCCCCCATCTAGATCAATAAAAAACTCTTATAACAATTTTTTCAAAACCTAAAAACTACAAAACTACAAGACTTTTATGTTTTAAAAGAAATTTTTTTTTTTTTCAATTGAAAGTTCTATGAGTTCTAATCAGATTTCTGTGAGCCCCCAATACTGTTCGATAAAATAACTATAATAGGTAACAATTTTCTTAAGACCCAAAAACTACTGAATTACAAGACTTTAAAGTTTCAAAAAAATTCATTATTTTGTTAAATTTAGAGTTCTAAGAGTTCTGATGAGAGTTCTGCGAGCCCCCAATAGTGTTCGATAAAAAACCCTGAAACCAATTTTTTCAAAACCTAAAAACTATTAAACTACAAGACTTTTATGATCAAAAGAAATTTGGTTTTTTTAAATTGAAAGTTCTATGAGTTCTAATCAGAGTTTTGTGAACCCCAAATCTTCAGACAACTACCAATTGCTTGGTCAATAAGCTTTGTTTTACATATATAATTACGCACCATTATGTATATCAACCTAAAAAGAACAATTAAACACTTTTTTAAAATTTGCAATGGCATTAACAGGATTTTACCGTGCCGTATTATCTCTATAACTATCCTTGCCCCTTGAGCGCATATTTCAGTTTTTTCTAAATTTTAAGGAACGACGTGAATTAATTTGAAAATAAATACAATATTCGTGTTCAGCAGGAAATTCCACTCCGAAAAACACTTACGTAAATAAATATTCTGAAACTCTAATATAGAAAACAATATGATAAACATAACGTTGACATTTTAGCAAAATAGACTATTTTCAAAAATAAACTCCTAACTTCGCAAATGGTGACAGATTGACTTCCAATTTTTACTATCATCTTTTGGTGTTAAAATGCGAATATACCATGAATTACTCGATTTTTGAGCATAAGCAAAAACTTACTATCCTTGCCCCATCCTCCCCTGTATAAAAAAATAAAAGTAAAAAAATATATAAAAATTTTAATAAACTATAAAAATTAAATTCATCAGCTAATGTCAGGGTATTTATTGACATTTGATTTTACCAAAAATTATCATACTGATGTCAGATTAACCCCTTAAGTTGTAGTTAAATAAAAGTCAAATTACACATAGATTATGACGTAACTAAATGAGAGAGTAAAAAATGAAACGTCAAAATTAGGTCAAAATGATAGGTGTAAGAGCAAACACAATTATAAAATTACCTTACATTGTTAGGTCAGATGGCAAACTTCACCTCATCATTAAGTCTGCGCGCGGAAATTGTTTGACAAATTTTGACGTCTAGGTCAAAACTGCCCTCAAACTTGACCTAAATTTTTAGGGTAGCGGGAATTCTTTGTCAAATTTTGATGCGTAGGTCAAAACTGCCCTCAAAATTGACCTACATTTTGAGGGTAGCGAAAATTGTTTGTCAAATGTTGACGTCTAGGTCAAAACAGTCCTCAAAATTGACCTAAATTTTGAGGGGAAAACTACAGGTCAACTCTTGACCTGTAGGTCAAAAAATCTTGAAACAGCGGCGGCGATATCTTTTTGTAATATAGAGAGATAATATTATATAATATATTATTATATATTATAATCAGCGACCCTAGAAACCTTAAGGTACCAAGTTTCATAAAAATCTATTAAAAATTTTTTCAACAAACTTTTGGCCCGAACAGTGGAAATCTCGTTGATAGCCAAGGGGTTAATTTGTTAATAACTTTCGAAATTTTGCAGAACTCTTGTTCTTTTGGTAGAGAACTGTAGAACTCTTTATTCTCTTTCAGAATATGAGAACAAAACTCTTTTTTGCATAAATAATACTTCTATGCAAAGTTAACACCAAGTTTTTTCATTGTCGCTTTTTTTGTCAATCATCAGAACTATTTAAATAATAATCGTTATAGAACTCGAGAACTATTGCTAAAGTGCCCAGAACTCTTGTTAAAATTTTGATTTTTTTAAAAAGTAGTGCCAACTTTACATGACTAAGTGTTTGAACTTATTCAATTATTCAAAAACAAATTAATTTCAAACCTTAAAGTCTTGTAATTCAGTAGTTTTTGGGTTTTGAGAAAATTGTTATTAGGGTTTTTTCTCGAACTCCATGGGTGGCTCACGGAACTCTGATCAGAACTACAAGAACTCTTAATTTAAAAAAAACAAATTTTTTTGAATCTTCAATGTCTTGTAGTTCAGTAGTTTTTAGGTTTTGAAAAAATTCTTATTAGGGTTTTTTATCAAACACTATTGGGGGTTCACAAAACTCTGATTAGAACTCATAGAACTTTCAATTTAAAAAAACCAAATTTCTTTTGAAACATAAAAGTCTTGTAGTTTAATAGTTTTTAGGTTTTGAAAAAATTGGTTTCAGGGTTTTTTATCGAACACTATTGGGGGCTCGCAGAACTCTCATCAGAACTCTTAGAACTCTAAATTTAACAAAAAAATGAATTTTTTTGAAACTTTAAAGTCTTGTAATTCAGTAGTTTTTGGGTCTTAAGAAAATTGTTACCTATTATAGTTATTTTATCGAACAGTATTGGGGGCTCACAGAAATCTGATTAGAACTCTTGTAACGTAACATTTTAGATTTTTTGAAAAGGAAGGGAACTCTAGAACTCTATTAAAACAACTCAAAACTCTAATTATAAATCCACTTTTTCAATAGTGAGGGACTGCGTGAAGTTGGCCCCCTATTATGAAAAAACTTATTTTTTACTATTTAATCGCCGGAACTATTTCTAAAAACTATCAGGAACTCTAGAACTATTAAAGAAATGTTTTTTATAAATAAATAATTAATAAACAAATTTTGAATTGTGTTAATCTTTGAGCACTAATTGAGCACTAAATAATAGGCTAATTGTAAATATTCTGTTGGCGTTTTTAACGTGTTTTTCGTTATGGTCCGGCCAGCGGATCGCTGAGTTAGTAATAAGCTAATAAGTTAGTTTTTTAAATAAATAATTAATAAACAAATTTTGAATTGTGTTAATCTTTCAGCACTAATTGAGCACTAAATAATATGCTATTGATAACTATTTTGTTGGCGTTTTTAATGTGTTTTTCTTAATTGTGCGGATAGCGGTTCGCTCACTCATTTGAATAAGTTTTTCTTTTAAATAAATAATTAATAAAAAAAATTTTTTATTTTCTTAATCTGCGAACACTATTTGAGCACTAAATTATAGGCTAAGAAAACGAATTATAAAACGAATTTAAAACATTTTTAACGTGTTCACTCTTTCGAAGAAATGTTTTTTATAAATAAATAATTAATAAACAATTTTTTATTGTGTTAATATTTAAGCACTAATTGAGCACTAAATTTTAGGGTATTGATAAATATTTTGTTGTGATTTTTGACGTGTCTGTCGTAATGGTGCGGTTGGCGGATTAGTCACTCAATCGAAAAAAAATTTTTTTTAAATAAATAATTAATTAAAAAATTTTTTATTTTGTTAATCTTTGAGCACTAATTGAGCACTAAATAATAGGCTATCGATAAATATTTTGTTGGTGTTTTTATTGCGTTTTTCGTTATGGTCTGGCTAACGGATTACTCACTCATTCAAAAAATTTTTTTTTTTTTAAATAAATAATTAATAAAAAAATTTTTTATTTTGTTAATCTTTGAGCACTAATTGAGCACTAAATAATAGGCTATTTATAAATATTCTGTTGGCGTTTTTAAAGCGTTTTTCGTTATGGTCCGGCCAGCGGAACGTTCACTCAGCAGAACCATTGTTTTTTTTTAAATAAACATTGAGCACTAAATTCGGCAATATGGTACAAAAATAGCACTAATTGAGCACTAATTAATGGTATAATTTAAATTCATTTTTATAAAAGTGGTTCGGCCAGCTTCACAGACCTAGAAAAATAACATGTTGAATGAAATTTTTCTTAATATCTTTCATTAACTCAAAAAAATTCCAGAAATTCGTTCAAATTCCATGCTATTTCCAGGTTTTCCAGGTTGTGTGGCAACCATGATTTAATTCTTAATTCGTAATTCTACATTCAAATATCAGCTAAAACTATTAACTTTATATTAAAATTTTATAAGACAAATTATACCAATTGTTATTTTAACTCTAATAATAATAATTTTTTTTCTGTATTAGTTGCATCGAAATAATAGAAAGTAACTTTTATTTGATGTTTCTCGCACAATTAGTTATTAGTGCTCTACAGTTTTGCCTACTAGGTTACTTTCTTGTTTTAGTAAGTAAATTTTCATTACTTTACAGTTTAATGAATGTTTACAGTAAATGAATATATTTCTAACTTCTAATTAGGATATTATACATAATTATTTTTTCAATACATATTTTTCCAAGTTGTTAAAAATTCTTCCAGTACCTGAAACATCCAAACATGTCTCTGGTACCTGATATTCTTTTTATACTGGTATTTTGTGTATATCAAATGGGAAACTTTTATATATTTTGCAATTTAACTGAAATGTTACAAGTGGAAGTAAGATATATGTTATTTTATATTAAATTTTAAAAGTATTTCTTTATCGATTTTTGGTACGTTTTTATGTCTCTGAAGTTGACATCGATGCTCTTCGTAAAAATTTTTTGTTATTTATGGTGTTTTAGAGAAAAAAGTGTCACTAATTTCAACTCCTTAAGTTAACAATTTTTCTTGAGTACTTTTTTAACCTGAAATGGATGAAAAAATGGTTTTAATCTTTTCGGTTTTTGCAAAAAATGTTGTTCGACTCTCAGCTTCGATAACAACTTTAGTGACCTATCCAACTATCTTTATGATTAAATAATTATTTAATCATTAAAATTAGATCTAAAATTTAATGTTTCGTATTATGTGACGTTCAACGGTTTAATGAGTACCTTTCTCAAAAAAAATGTTAAGTAATGCTTACGATTGTATCACTTTTATTAGTGGAGCTTTTTTTAATTTCAGAAAATAAATAATAATTTTTGTTGACTATTTTAAATGTATTAAGGATTTAAATAATATTATTTTTCACTGAGAGTTAAAATATAAAATTATTATACTTTAGATACCGTGGAGAGTCACATATTATTTTAATATTAACATTATTCTAGTATTAATACAATTAATTAATATTAATAGAATAAAATAAGACTTATTCCAATAATAATAAAAATACGTTTTTTAGAGTTTTGAATTTGCAAATACGGCATACGGAAGTGAATGGTATAATTTGCCAATAAGAAAAGCAAAATGCATTATTTTATTAATTCAAGGTGGAAACAAACCTGTAGAAATAACGGCTGGGAAATTTTTCGTTTATAACTTTAAACTATTTGGCAGTGTGCGTTGTAATCATATTATAGTTCAAGTTATTCATCACCTGAAACAAAAATAAAACATATATTAAAAAAATATTAACAAAATATAAACAAAAATATTCAAAAGAAATGAAAACACAAATACAAGAATTAATTTAATTTTAAAAATGTATTTAATTTCAGATTGTGAAAACGTCTCTCGGATATTTATCGTTTTTAATAACCATGAAGAAAAATGAATGAAAGCAGAATAATTCTCCAGTTTATTCAATTACAAATAAAAGATTTGTAACTGTATTATACGTTTAGAATATGTTATTGATAAAAAATAAAATATTTTAACATTTAATATTATCTTTTAAGTAGTACTTCCATTAAAAAATAAAGTGTTTTCCACATTTTAAGGTAACATATCAAAGATCCTCAAGTTCCAAACTTTCAAATGAACGAAATATTTTTTATTAAAAACATTTTTATTTTTTTTATAAATTACTGGATTGTAATAAAAATGTAATAAAAATTTAATATTTAATTTTTACATTTAGAAAATTTATAAATAATTTTTTTTATATTTGACTCAAAATTCTTGCAATAAAAATTTAATTCGAACGAGAAATAAATAGATTTCGATCGCTTGAACATTCGAAACTTTCGGATCATATCAGCAAAAAAATATCTTTTTACTTTTTAAACAAAAGAATATATTCAAATTTTGAAGAATGATAAAAAAAATTTCTCAGGCAGAAAACAATAAAAGCCTTTTGTTTGCAGATTTTTTTTCCAAACAATGATTCTCACTAAGAAAAAAATTTTTTTTTAATCCAAAAATATGTAGCGAATCAAAAAAAAAATATTTGAATTAAACACATTTTATAATATTGAATTAAACGAAATTTTTAATGAATCAAACTTATTATATGTATTGAATGAAAATTATTATGTTTAATTCAAAAATAATTTTTTGTTGACAGTATGACAAAGATTGTTTGATTCAAATATATTGCTTTTTCACTGCAGAAAAGATTGTAAAAAATTTGTTTAAAATTGTTTCGATTAAATTATTACAAAATTGTAAGTACTTTTTAAATAAATAAATTCGATTTGAATTAAAAATTTCAAGTCTTGTTTTTGTTTTACCACTGACGATGTTCTTAGTGATTTAATTAACATAACATTTTTTGGTCTTGAAAGAAATTTTCCACTATTTTGTTAAAATAACAGGGTTAATACGACAAATAAACAAACTTTCGAATATTATAAATGAAAAACTGTCGAAAATTTTTCTCTTTTGTAAAATCAAGGGAGGTGTAAATATATTTCACACGATGTGACTTGTGGAAAAGAAAAAACGATATGGTGCGAAAATTCAAAGGAAAATGTCCAATGCGCATGCCTCGGAAAAAGTAAAATGACGTATAAATATATAATTGCACTCGTTGAATTTTTTAGCATAATTACAAAAAATGATACCAAAATGATTCCTTATTATGTAATTTAGAGACAAAGTTTTATACTTTGTTCTTCTTCTTTTCAAATTTTTCTGAAAATAGACACCTTCAATTATTTTGTGTTGCACTACATTTACAATACAGCTACAATGTTTCTAAATCTTATGCATTATACATATTGTTTCATATAAAACTTTTAATTTTACTCAATCGTTACGTGGAATTTCATTATTTTTTTTTCTTTTTAATAAGAGACTAGAATGTAACGATCTTTTTTTCTTTTTTCCTTATGACAAGTATCACTTAATGAAATTTTCGTATTTTGTCTGTAGTGCGCGAAAATAATGAAAATTAATTAAATTAAATTAAATTAAAATTATTAAAAAAGAAAAAGAAAACTTGTAAGAGAGAAAATAAAATGAAAAAGTCAGAAAAAATGGAGGGTAAAAAAAGGCAACAAAATAAATTACATTTTTTTTATAACAAAAATAATCGTCTTTTCTTTAGATTTTCTATAATTTTATGAGATTATAATAATTTAATGTGTTTAAAAATAATTAAAGTGTGTCTTAATATTTCATTATTAGATTCAGTTTATAGTGTAAATTTTTTAGGGTTACTACAAAAATTTGATTTTCTTTTCCCTGATTTGCAGACAGAATTTGACTATGACTTTCACTTTCATTTTGACTTTGACATTGAATTTTAAAGTTAGAGTAAAAGTCAAATTCAAAGTGAAAGTGAAAATGAAAGTTAAAATGAAAGTGAAAATGAAAGTAAAAGTCACAATGAAAGTCAGAGTGAAAATTAAAGTCAAAGTCATTGTCAAAGTTAAATTCAAAGTCAAAATCGAATCGAAAGTCGAAGTCGAATCAAAATTATTCGAAACAAAAATAGTTTTTTTTTCAAATAATATTTAATCATTATTATTATTTTTCCACGGGACTTGTGGCAACCCTGAATAAATTACTTCAAACAACTTTGTTTAATTTTAATTTGGTTTTTTGATTATAGTATTTAAAATTAATTCTTAAAAATATTTCAAGATGACTACTTAGAAGAATTTACATTTTTCCCTCGAATAAGTCTCAGCACTTTTGGAGCATCCCCTACTCAGAAAAATGAAAGAATATCAAGAGGCCTATTTACTATTAGTCTATTCTGTGTACTATTCGCTTGTTTTATTCCTCAATTCTGTCAATTGTTTCAAGTTTGGAAGGATTTGGATCGTTTGAGTAATGTTTTGTGTACAGTGGAATTACCATTAACAGTAGCAATGACAAAGATGATTGTCCTTTATCTCAATAAACAAAGTTTGTATCAAATTTTATAATAAAAAAAAAAAAAATAACATATAAATAAAATAATAATCCCTTATTATATTGTATTATTTTTATAGAAATGACAACTCTTTATAATTACATGAAGGAAGATTGGAAGAGAAAAAAAAGTGACGAAGAATTAGAAATAATGATTAAAATTGGTCGAGAGGGAAAGAAATATTCTTTGATATGCGTCCTAACGGGTCAATTGACAGTCATCTGTATGGTGATTGAATGTATTTTTGCAAACAAATCACTCAGGAATAGTCCAGACTATTATAAAAATTATACCCTATTTATTGATGCTTATTTTCCATTTACATGGAACTACAGTCCAACATTTGAAATTTTAGTTTCTTTCCAATATATGGGAATACTTTGTGGAACATTCGCTTACACTGGATCGGACGCCTACTTTAGTCAAATATCTACTCACTATACTGCACAATTTCACATCTTACGTTTGAAACTACTTAATTTTCTTAGTAATTCTAATGATATTGAGTCTGAATCAGAGTTCAATAAACAGTTTGGCAACATTATCACCACTCACTATAATATCAATAGGTATTTTTTTTTTATTTGCTTAGAGATTTTTGTTTTCATTTTTAGTCATGAAATTTAAATATGTAAAGTTCTTTTTTTTAAAAAAGTGGTCTCTCTGAATTAGAATAGGTATAAAAAAGCTAAGAAGTATTAAAAGTTTGAATTTTAAGAAAATCAGGGTGTCTACTGAAAATATGACAATAATTTCTTTTTAAATAACTTCGCATAAATTCAATTACTTATGTTCAAAAATTTTTCTAAATTCTCGTCAAAATTTCAAATTATTTTTATAAAATATAAATAATAAAAATCTTCTCCGAAATTTAAATTATTTTTTAAAGTTTTTCTCATTTCAATTATTTTTTATATCTACTATTTTAATAAAATTTTCCAAAAGAATTATATTATTTAAACAAAATATTAATAAAAATTTCACAGGAATTCAATTACGTACCAATTTCTTTTATAAATTTCTTCACATCAATTCAATTATTTTTAATTTTTTAATAAAGTTTCTCGAAAGAATACAAATATATAAAAAAATTTCAAAACATAGTCTGAGAAATTGAATTATTTCAAAAAATTTAAATAAAATTCTTTTAATAATTCTATTATTTAACAAAATGTTGAAAAAATTCTTTGCAAGATTTAGTTCATTAAATTGCAATTTTAATAAAATTTTCCTATACAATTCAATTGTTTTCAATACCTTTCTTCTTATTAAGAATTCAATTATTTTCAGAAATAATACATTTTTTATGGGAATTTAATTATTTAAAGGAATTTAAAATAAAAATTCTTCTCTAGAAATAAATTATTTTCTTTCTTGATAATTTAATTATTTTTGAAAATTTTGATAAAATACTTTATAAATTTAAAAAATTATAATAAAAGACAACATTTTTTCTAGAAAAACAATTATTGTCAAAAATGTTTGTAAAAATCTTCGAAACAATTCAATTATTTTCGCAAAAAATAAAATTCTTCTAAGCTATTCAATTATTTAAGAAATTTTAATAAAATTCTTCCCAAAAATTCAATTTTTTTTTATAAAAATAAACATTTTCACAGGAATTCAATTAGTTAAAAATTTTTTTTTTTAATTCTTTGACAGTTTTCAATTATTTTCAAATTTTTTATTGAAATTTCTAGATGGAATTTAATTATTTTTAAAAAGTTTTTAAAAATTCTCAAAAATTCAATTATTTTCCTCTGGGATTCAATTATTCTTACAAATAAAATTCTTCACAGGAATTCAATTCTTTAAAAAGATTTTTAATAAAATTCGTTGCAAGAATTCAATTATTTTCATGAATAACGAAACTTATCGCAGAATTTCAATTATTTTTATAAAAAGTTTATATAACAAGTTGTTCATTTCATGACCATTTAGCTTCCTCAATATATAAATAGAAATTCGTGACGTAATTCACGTACAAAATTTTGAAATTCAAAAATTCAAAAATTTGAATTTTTTGTGAAAGAGAAAAACATTTATTAATTTTATAAATTTTGATAAAATATATACTTTGTATACATCAATCGATTCGTTTTCTTGTCAGGAATGTAATTTTGAAAATAATTAATGAAAATATTAACAATTAAAAAAATTATTTCAAGAAATACAAAAAAAAAATTTTTCTGAATTTAAAAAAAATTTTTGTAGATATTTTCGAAAATCCTTGTGTCAGATTTTAAGTATTAATGACAGCAAAAACCCTGCAAAATTTCAGGACAATCCATTAAAATTTGTCTGAGATA